TATGGACAAGGTCAACAGCTGACCCTAGAAGGGAGAGCCTGGGGTGGGGCTTGTTTCAATCAGCTGATCATAGGAGTGGGGTGGGTGATTGAATAACCTTCTGTCCCACCATCCCACCCACATACACACAGTACAGCTACTGACATATAAGACGCTTTCAGTGAACCTTCTTCACTCACTGACGAGGTTGTGCTAGGTTACACTGTTGTTTTACATCACCTACATTATAAACAAGAGCCTTGACATTTTATTTGCCTTTTATAGCTCTCGTATTTGTGATTGTGATTTGATTCACACACCCCCACCCCCGCCACTATTTTTACAGAAACATTTTTAGACTCAGAATGATAAGAGAGGATTGAAGATGGTTCAGTGGTAAATGTGTTTTTTATTTTTGTAAAAATGCTGTTAAACTTTCATTGATTTTGGTCATTAGTATACTCTACAATGTACAGAAGTAATCTTAAATTTATGTGTGAAGTAGTGTTTCTAACGTGATGCCATCTCTGTCCTCGTTTAACTATGTGGCAGGTGATTTTATCTCCAGAAAAGACGTCAAACAACACGCAGATTAATGTCAGTGAAAAGTTAAGTGTTGGGTTAAAAAGATCCTCTTCCTGTTGCAGAATTCTGTGGGAAAACAAAATCGGATAAACACACAACGTGTGGCTGAAAGGGCAGAGAGGGATGGGAAACGAGGGGGACAGAGTTTAAAAGACTGGGAGAGAATAAGCAGGAGATGACAGAAACGTATGGGTGAGATAGTGAGGTAATTTGAGGTGTGTGTTTGTGTGTATATGTGGGTGTGTGGGGTAAGTGGGAGGCCTGGGTGACTTTCTGGCCTTGGAAAAGCAGCCAAGCTGGCAGTGTGTAGGAGGGGAAAGTCCTGGGCCTGGCCTGTCTGCCTGGGGCCTCGGCCTGGCCTTGCACTGTGGCAGGTTATTGAGTTTAACAGGATGTGGCTTAGGACTATATACAGAAGTGTATACCTGAATTTTGCATTTTGATAGCAGGGGGACATTTTAGCCTCCAATATAAAGTAACATAAATTAAAGGCAGAAAAAGTATTTTCTTTCTAAGATTAGTTCAAGAAATTGTCCACCTTTGGCTTGGTCATGAACTGCATCAAAAATAATTGGGGGGTCTTTCCAGGTGGGAACTCAGTAAGGAATCATGTCACCAGCAACAACATGTCGACACAACAACTGTTAATTTGCATCGTGCCAAAGAAAATGCGTGTGAAAGGAGCAGCTGGCAGCATGTGTATCACAGGAGGAATGTGGCTGGCCATAAATTCCCCAGGACAACAGTGGAGATAGCACTGACAAGGATTACAGCACAGAGAGTTTGACCACACAAAATTGGGCAAGGGAAAGGGGATAACAGAACAACTCACAAACAAACAAAAAAACAAAAACTGTCCATAGTTTGATTACAGAGGCCATGATTGTAACATAATGCAGCTTATCAGGAAATACAAGCCACATCCCCTGAGCTTGTTCTTTTAACAACATGTGCTTAGAAAGATTCATATTAGATAAACCTTACTTATATTTCAGTCCCTTTTTAAAGTGATCTCTGTCAGAAACACACAGCTATCATTGATGGGATTTTTAAGTAGAAAGGTTTTTTCCTTTAATAGGAAAGAGCAATATTTACAGACAAAGAGAAGTATGCAGGCAGATGGAAACTATTGTTTAGAAAGCAAACTAAAATATAGGACTGCTAGACTTCCTTGTATGGTAGTGCCTGAGTTTATCACAGGGGCTTTGTCGTAGCCAGTGTCATTGTAATCATTTTTTCAGAAATGGCTGTTCCTCACCTCTCCCAAGGCAACTCTTGAAGCTGCATGCGTAGCACAGAGAAATACTTTTTTACCTATTTGTGTTTGCTAATATTCAGTCACCTCATGAATAAGGAATCACTGGGATTTTTTTTAAGGAGGGGGATATTGTGTGATACATGTTTCAGATTACTCATCCCACTGTAAATATATCAAGCTGTTTGTGGGTGGCTTATGCTTAGAAGTATATTTTTTCCAGGTCTGATTTCTTAGAGCTGATAACCACCATCTTCAACCACAACCATCAAGTAACTCTGCAGCTCTGCAGGCATCTTAAGAGCTGGAGGAACTTGTTGCAGCTGTTGCAGCTTTTTTTTTTCTTTTTTTTTTGCTACTATGTGCTTCCATTAATAATCTGTAGATAGATAACTGTCATCATCCAGATTCTAATAAAGTTTACTGTTTCTGAGGATACACAGTGTGACATACAGTTGCATATGTTTGGTTTTTCTCATAGTATTTGAGCACACGATTGTTTAGATTGTGCCATGTTATAGACTAGTGATCAGATGGATGGTTTCAATTTTATTCTGTGAGTTGTAAGAGTGGGATATACAGTAATGCTGGCTTCAGCATTCATAGCAGAGGAGAGAGTGAAGTGGAAGAGGAACACGTGAAAGGCAAAAAAAAAAAACAGAAGGGTGGACAAATGACAGGAAAAAACGTGCACATGGGGTTTCACATGTTCTTCTGTGTACATGTACACACAAACACACACTGATTTTTCTTTTCCTGCTATTCCCAGAAATTACAATAACGATTTCAAGCAGATTTAATTCCCTGAAAGCAATTTTGAAAGAAACACATGCACACACATGCACACACACTCACATTCAGATAATTTCTTATTGCATAGCAGAGAGAGAGAGAGAGGGAGGGAGGGAGGGAGAGAGAGAGAGAGAGAGAGAGAGAGAGAGAGAGAGAGAGAGAGAGAGAGAGAGAGAGAGAGAGAGAGAGAGAGAGAGAGAGAGAGAGAGAGAGAGGGAGGGAGGGAGGGAGAGAGAGAAGGAGGGAGGGAGAGAGAGAGAGGGAGAGAATGAGAGAGAGAAAGAGAGAGAGACAGAGAGAGAGAGGCAGGATTAGAAGTTTCACAGTTTTGTGGCAGTGTGCTGTGGAAGGAGCCAGATTACCATCAGAGCAGTTGGAATTCAAGCCTTATCTCTGCTCGACAGGGCCCGGTCTTGAGAGCAGTAGATGAACTAACCCTGGGTACGCGCCTGCCGGGGGACTAACACTGCTGCCTCAGTTACGCTCTGCTTAACAACTCGATTAGCTTGGTACTGAAACTCGGCCATGTCTGGGTTAGCATCAACCGAGACATGGCCGAGTTGTCTGTGATTCCTCTGTATCAGGACTGTTGGTCCTCGTAATAACAACACTGCACCAGCACAGTATGCTCCATTACATTACATGGATTTACATGATGTGGAAGGCCTAGAAGTCACATTGTAACATAACGTGGAGCAATGACCCGCAGGTCTAAATACAAATCACATATTTGCAGAACAAATTGATTTAGGGCAAGTTTCAGCTTGAGCTTGAATTAATCCATTGTGACGCAGCACATTGAAGTCATTCAAATTTTACAGGTTTCATAACAGCTAACCATTTTTACAAGGTTAGTTATTATGACCGCTCTTCTTTAATTGCAACCCAACTTACTCTGTATTTTCATATCAAACCTGTTTAAGTAGATTTTTTTCATAATTTTTTTATCAAATGATGGGTGTCTGTTCAAAACAAAACTTTTCGACTGATCCTGCTCTTCCAGTATCGGTGTTTCACTGTGCTGTTTTCCATGGTGAAATACATGTGTCTGTGCTTTTGTGTTGTTCCGCAATTCTGTTTCTGTGGAATGATGCCTCTGGTTATACGGTGTCCCTTTTCCAAGACTTATTGTTTACTCATCTGTCCACAGTCAGAAGCGCCAAGCAAGGAGGGAACAGAGCAAGGGGTGAGAAGGGGAGTAGTATGAGATGAGAAGACAGACAACTGACATACAAACATAAACAAACAAAATGGTGACAGGTTATGAGTTTGTGAGGTGGTAGTTATATTTTACAGGGACCCTACATCCCTCTGTCACCCCAGAAAAGGCATTTTTTCCATTCAACTGTCTAAAGCGTAGAACAACTTTTGTGAGGCCGCTTTCAGAGCTCATGCCTGATCTTGCCATCAGGAAGCACAAGCACACACACACACACACACACACACAGACACGTAGACACACACAGGAAGAAAAGGAGAGAGAAAGGTAGGGTGAGAGAGTTGACGAGAGAAGCATAATCATAGAGCAACCAGCAAACACTGATAAGTTGAGTGCTGTACCCTTTAAAAAGCACTCTCTCCAGCACGCAAACATCTACATGTTATGCTCTGTGAGTTGTTTCTCTAACGTCATAAGGCAAAAATATACACATGTATCTGTGAGCACACACAGGGCTGGGTCTGTGTTTGTCTGCCTGCTTCTCATCCACCTCACTGGGCCCCATTCCCACATGATGTAGTCATGTTAACAGTAAGAGCTCGATATCTTGTATTCTCATGCCTGCAAAACATTTTCAGCCGAACTGTGAGCAATGTTTGATACGCAGCTATGACAGAAGCCAGCACAGCTTCTCCGCATTAATCAGTAGCAGCGTATTGTTGAGATTTTAGTCAGCATCACAATTAATCATTTATCTCATTTTCCAGACACACAGTTTTTACTTTAGGCTCTCACAGCGCAGTATTGTTCTTCCTCTATGAGTTCTCGTCAGCCCTAATACCATATTATGCTTCAACCCCCCTCATGACCACTTGTGGCTGTACACTTTCTGAAAAAATGTTGCTCTGGATGTGCTGTATGCCTGTTTAAACACAGGACACTTACAGAAATGTGTAAACTTAACTATATAATAGTGTGTTTCTTGGACGTTATGTAACACAGTAGTGTGCAGCAGCAACAAAACCTCAAGGGGAAAGGTTCAACATTTTTGGAAAATATGTTTACTCACTTTCTTAATAGGGGCTGGCTTAGAACAAAGACTGGAAACAGGGGGAAGCAGTTACCCTTCTCGTCTCAGTGAATAAGCATATTCCCCAAAATGTGGAACTATCCTTTTTTATGGGAGGTAAACAGTGAAATGAAATTGCTGAATTAGCATGTTGGACTCACTGGGTTGTGTTCAAGGCGGTGTCATGGTCCTCTGGAGGGTTTAACTGGAACATGGGGGTGTGGGAATCTCCACGCTTAGCCCACAGAGTATAAATATACATGCATACAGTCACACACATTGAGGACTAGGAGCAGACACGCACCCACACAATAAAACGAAGAGATCCATACTCCCTTTTCTAAAAATAGTTTCTCTTCAGCTCAGCTTGTCTTTGTCTACCATGTGCTCTCCCCCTCCCCATCACTCAATCCCTATCTCCCCACATCCATGTTTATATGTCTCAGGGGGCCCAGGGGTGCCAGTGAGAGTCTGGTTAAAGAACATGGCATGCTAATGGTTTGGAAAGGATATGAATAGAGGGGCGACTGGAAGGGAGCCATGGCTAAAATGACACACACAGACACAAGCACTTTCATTATGCTCGCTTTCCATTTTACATGCTCACTCTCACACGTCTGTGTGTGATTAGATTTTGTTTTGGCTGCTGGTGTTAGTCCTGAAAGAGTGCCGTAATGGCTGAAGTCCAGAATGAATGTGCCACCTTTTATTGTCTGTGGTTCACCTCCATTCATAGGTTTCTTATTTCTATGGTATACACTATTCCTCTGCTGCATGATGTGTGCTTTGTCTGATATGGTATATTTATTTAGGATTCATAGTCCTCCTTTAGTCCCATGAATCGTGATGCAAAGGGAGTGATATGAAAGCTATGTCTGGCTTGGTTTTGATTTAGGAATCTATGTGTCACTTTCACAGTATAACACCTCCTCTCTTTCTCTGCCTTCAGGACCTGTCCTGCATTGATGACCTCTCGACAAACTCTCTGTTCTCCTCTCCGGCTGACTCACTGTCGGAGTATGCTGATGCCCAGTCCTTCATCAGCACAGATAACCTGGACACAGTGCCCACCCTCTGGGACGTCAACACTAGTACCACCACACCAGCACAGAGCCAGCTAGAGGTCAGCAGCAAGCGCTCACACACACACACACACATACACACACACACACACACGTCATTACCAGACACACTGGTTACCACACCAACAGCTCATCTTACAATTATTATGCAACAAAAACTTTTTTAAAGTAATCACATGCATGTGTGTACTGGGGGTAGACACCAAGCACCAGCAAGCCAGGATCAGATTGTCCTCTGTAAACATTAGTGCTGATCTGGCAAGCTGCTACAAGTTTCATTCTCACTTGGGATTTTCATGGTGTAGCAGCATTCATGCTCATTCTTCTGAAAACACACAAATGCCACTATGATCCACACTACAACTGTGTTTGACCCAGGCTTCAGTGTTATCTACACTCAAAACAATAATTTTCTTCTATTAATATTTAATTTGATAGCAGGCAGAGCAGGACAGACATGTGGCGCCATGGTTGAACGAGGGATGTTCCCCGTGTTATTCACCCATTTGCAGCATAAATGACTTAAGTTAGCTTATAGTCTCCTTTACACAGTTAATTGTTGTTGTTTTGAAAGTTTAGCAAAAGCTAAAATCACTGTAAAAGAATAAAATTAGTTCCTGTCTGTCAGAGGATAAAATTTAACGCACTTCAAAAGTGATGTAGTCTGAACATAAAAAAAAATTATTTGAACCAATTTCTTCACACACTCTTACTTGCAAATGCAAATCCATTTCAGTCATCCATTGTTCTTAGAACATTTTCAATACTCAAATAGACTGACTATTTGACTGAATGTCAACATGTGGAAACCAGCTGTTCTGACTTTACAGCCCGAGCACATCAGACCCCCGTCATACCACTTTGTTTACTGTTGTCACAGTGCTGCATGAAACAGAATCTCCAAATTAGCAACTGAGATACGCATGAGATTCTGTAAATAATAATTATGTTTGTTTTTGGTGCACTGTCTCTTCAAAGACGCTCATTGAACTGTAGTGTATCATGGTCTCCAAGCTGGTGATCTGAGTAGAACAACTTTGTTTTCAAATGTTGTTCCTCCAGTCCTGCCTGCGTCGCCACCGAGGCCTCTTTGAATTAGATGGGTCGGAGGATATCTTTTTGATTTGAATCAGAGCACATTTATTTCTCCTGCCTACTGAAAGCCTTTTATGTTTTCCTTTTCATTCTGCCCTCATTTCATCCATTATGTTTCCCACACACACGCAGCTTTATCTGCCTTTTTTTGTTGTTGTCGCTGGCTTTTCACCGCCAGACAACAAATTGCATTTTGTTGAGTGCTGCTCCATCAGACATCCACGAAGTGCCCACATGCTCTCATGCACATGCACTACAGACAAACACATGCACACACATACAATGGTTTCTCGTGTTGTTTTTTGTTTCTCTTTTCTCATGCATTTGGCACTGTGTTTATTTGAGTTTGTATTTCTTCATTTTATGTTTTGTTGACAGCAGAATGGCACCAGCAGGTTTCATGGCTTGGCCAGTTTGGATGATATAACTGCTATTATCAGCACCCCACCTTTAGGAGGATTCCAGGTAGCCGCACCAACCTCTCCAATCTAATGTTGAAATGAAACCAAGCTCTCTAACTCGATGAGCCTATTCATCGGCAGTTCTCAGTAATGCAGAGATATGCAGATTGTGTCGTAGGTCTAAAGTGCTGCAGTTATTACCCTGTGTTTTTGCAATACAAGATAAACCTGAGACTGTTTTACATAGAAACATAACATGCCACTAATCAAAGAGTGAGGGTCACATTTTGACAGTGTAGTACGTGAAGGTAGTAGTATGTGATGAGTGAAACTGTGATCCATGTGCCTTTTCCGGCAAGTCTATATTAACACACATGATGAAAGCATTGCTGCATATTGCATATATGGGACATTCTTTCCTATGCACATTGCATAGAGAACAAATAATACCATATACTGCATTGTCCCTTCAAGTTGTTTATGTGACAAGAATAGAAGCTTTGTAATATTGAGTCATCCGTCAAAATGGGACTCTCCTCATTTCAAGTTTCTCCGATAGCATGCATCTGTTCTTGCCTGAATATGTAAAGCACTTTTTTGTCTACAGTTACAAACATGTTAAAAAAGCCCTCTTTCATTCTGCTTTAGCTGATTTCATGCACTTTTTAATTTCATTTGTTATTTTACTCTTTCTCTGGTTAATATTCCTTGATAAGGAGTTCTACATGTGCTTTGCTGACTTCTTACTAACTGCTCACCCGCCTCAAACTTCCAGCTACAGTCTCTTTACTAAACCGTCTTCACCTAAGCTGAAAAAAGAAACTCCCAGAAACAAAACTCCCAAATGCCACGAATGTTAATGTGAATTACATTGATTAAATCTTTACGTTGTTTCCAGGCTCAGAGACCCCAGCCTCAACCAGAGGAGGAAGAGGATGCTGAGGAAGAGGAGTCAGAGGAACTGGGTCACGTAGACACATATGCTGAGTACAGACCTTCTAAATGTAGGCCACTAGACAACATCGACTTACCTATTCATTCATCTACATTTTTATTTTTAAATACGACATGACACTCCTGCAGTTTGCTGTTAACATTTTATGTTCCCTTCTTTAACCCTCTCTTCAGCCACCATAGGAATTTCTCATCCTGACATAGTGGTGGAGACCAACACACTATCCAGTGTCCCTCCTCCTGACATCACATACACTCTGTCTATCCCTGAGTCAACTATCACCAATGGCTTGCTGTCTGCTCTGCAGCTAGAGGCCATCATCTACGCCTGCCAGGTACACACTCTTCCACACAAAACATAAAGCACTTACTCATTTTGGGACTATAGACGATTAATGTTTTGATTATGTTAGAAAACTTTGTTCATGCATTTGCTCTTCATGCACCCTCAGCAACATGAGGTGATACTTCAGAACAACCAGAGGGCGGGCTTCCTGATCGGAGATGGGGCAGGGGTCGGAAAGGGACGCACTGTGGCAGGAATAATCCTGGAGAATAACCTTAAAGGAAGGAAGAAAGCACTATGGTAAGAGATTTACTACTCTGGTAGACCTCATGCAGGGGCCTTAAAACAAACTTGAAAGCTTAAAAACAGCTGCAGTTTCTCTGGTTTACAATACTTGATTTATAGTTTGGTGCTTTGTGTCCAGTTGTATGCCAGGTTATATTGTAAAGTAGGAGCAGTAACCGGCTGAATTACTGACTTTCCTGTTCTTTCCCTCAGGTTCAGCATATCCAATGACCTGAAATTTGATGCAGAGAGAGATCTCAAAGACATAGATGCACCGAATATTCCTGTGCATGCCTTAAACAAGGTGGGTCCAGGTGGAATTAGTGTGACAGCCTGAGAACATGTATTTTATTCTTGGCAACAGCTGAGGTTATATATGCATCAGAGGAGAAAATTCAACAAAGCAAGCTATATTTTCCACTTTTAAACATTTGCTTTGTTTTTGTAGATAAAGTATGGAGACACAGCTACCTCAGAAGGAGTCCTGTTTGCAACTTACTCTGCGCTGATTGGAGAGAGCCAGGCAGGAGGGCAGCGGCGGACAAGAATTAAACAGATCCTGGATTGGTGCAAGCCAGACTTTGATGGAGTTGTATCCTTTCATTTTAAAAATGTCACTTACATCATCTGTCCAGCACAGAACTGACATTCCATGTGTTGCTCCATCCCGCTTTCATTTGAACATCCCAACCGTGGTTTTACACAAATTGGCATTGCCTGTCTGTGTTGTTTGCCCTTGACCTTTCACCATTACAGATTATTTTTGATGAATGCCACAAAGCCAAGAATGCCACATCTACAAAGATGGGCAAGGCAGTGCTTGACCTGCAAAGCAAGCTGCCACGGGCCAGAGTGGTGTATGCCAGTGCCACAGGTAGGCTTACACCCAAATAAACACACATTCATACACCTAATGCAACACAATGAGGATTTTGAAATGTGTTTTTTTCATCTCTGCCCCAGGTGCCTCTGAGCCAAAGAACATGATCTATATGAGCCGCCTGGGAATCTGGGGTGAGGGCACGCCCTTCAGAATCTTTGATGACTTCCTGCACGCCATTGAGAAGAGGTTTGTAGGAAATTCACTCCAGAGCTTTATGCTTTCAGTCATGTGGATACATATCTTCATATCGCTGTGCTTACTGGAAAATTCCTTACAATCATTTTGCAGTTATGGCTGGTTGACCTGTGATTGAATCATGTTGAATAATTTATATGACAGAGGTGTCGGTGCCATGGAGATTGTTGCCATGGACATGAAAGTGAGCGGGATGTACATTGCCAGGCAACTGAGCTTCTCAGGGGTATCCTTCCGCATTGAAGAGATCGGACTGGACAGTGACTTCAAACTGGTCTATAACAAAGCTGCCAAACTGGTGAGCATCCTGCCTCTCATTAATGAGGATTAGCTGCTAATATTGTGTCTTTAGTATGTGTGACATAAAAAAAAAACACTGTACTTTAAACTGACTGTGAACATCTGGAATCTGTGTCCAGTGGGCGGAGGCGTTGCAAGTGTTCATGCGTGCAGCAGATGAGCTGGGCCTGGTCAGCCGGAAGTCTCTGTGGGGGCAGTTCTGGTCGTCTCACCAGCGCTTCTTCAAATACCTCTGTATTGCTGCCAAGGTCCGCTGCCTGGTGGAGCTGGCCCAAAAAGAGCTGCAGGCTGGAAAGGTCAGTACAGCACACTCTTGAACACTGACTCATATCGTGTGTGTATATAATCTAGAAGACAAGAAATCATCAGAGGAAGATCCAAGCAGGGGATTTCTCATCATTCCATAGATTGAATAGGTATAGGTTGAATTAGTGAGGAGGGACTGCAAGCACAGAATACTTTTTTTCTGCTGTATAAACGCTGTGTTGATGCATAGTGTTGTCAGTACTTTGCTTTGTCTACGTAGCAAAGTTTTGGATCTTATTTGGTGAATCTACAAGCGTCAGATTTTTTTGCACCAGAAATGAGTCCTCTATAAAGAACTCCAGGTAACACAGTAGAAAAGTTTGTTTTTTAATATGTAGTTATTTTTTCTCCACCACAGTGCATCGTTATTGGCCTCCAGTCCACTGGGGAGTCTCGCACCAGAGAAGTCCTGGATGAGAACGATGGGCATCTCGACAGATTTGTCTCTGCAGCAGAGTGAGTAAAATGGAAAATGTTGTGTGTTTGTTTGTTTGTTCCAATGTTAATAGGTTTATTTGAAAGGATATTCACCAAAAATGAAAAAATGTCTCAACGGCACTGTCTGAACAGTGAAACGTTCACTCACAGGTATAAGGTTTTACATTGCTGATACCTGTCTGACACCTTTGACCCTGTTGAAGGAGTTGTCTGTTTGCTGGAAGCTATAGCAGTCTCCGGGTTTTTTCCATTTTTTTGTTCCTTCACCATACTGCCAAATGATTGTATTGAAGTATTCAGGCCATATTTAAGTCGTCACCATTTATCCTCAGTGAAACCAGAAAATCTCTTAAATTATTAGCAGCTATTTAATCAACAAACGACTCATCCAAGAAAAACAAGACAGCAGACATGCCTGAACGTCTGAGTATATTGGATCACACACACGTTCATCTGCGTGTCAACACCCGGCACTGACAATGAGGCCATATCAGGAATGTACAGAGTCTAAATGCCTCAACTACCTTGTGTTGTCCTGATCACTCTACTGTCAAAATAAAAGTTTCTTTTTCCTCTTCTCCTCTTCTTTTTTGCTTTAGGGGAGTATTTCAGTCCCTTGTAACAAAACATTTCCCTTCAGAGAAACAGAGAAGGGAGAAGGCACCAGGGAATAAGAGAAAACGTAAGTGAAGAGGATGCATTTGTCACACCATGTCAGCATGTGGACCGTTAAATAGTTTGCCCATACGTTTTTTCACTATTACTGGCTGTAGCCAGTCAGCTGACTTACCAGGCATTTTCCCTGCAGTGTAAATTTAACGGTTAACAGAGTGTTGATTGTATGTATCTATATATATATATATACTGTATATTTTTGTATATCTGGTTGTTTGCGTGACATTAGGCACCTTTGATTCGGAATAAAACGCCCTTCTTCTTGCATTCTTGATTTATTACTACTTTTTTTACTACTAGGTTCAAATGTCTTATATCATATTTTGGCTTCCAATCAGGGAAGCCTAGAGGTCGCCACCCCAAGGTACCTAAGCACACAGTGGACAGCGGCGGTGTGATCAACATCACTGATGACAGCAGTAGTGACTCTGATGGCATGGACACAGACTCCAACTCCTCACCCGACTCCCTGCTAGACAATGATGATGTCATCTTTGTGAACCACACTAGCTGCCAGACAGGTAGGGAGGTTCCCTTTTTTTTATTGGTTTGTGTTGTCAGTAAGATTAATGTGTCTGAGAGTGTAGCAGAAGAAGATATTGTAGCTGTTTCAGAAGTGTCTCAATGAATAATATATATGTATAGACAGTGAAACAAGCTTCCACTCAGTACTTGACAGTGTAACCTTTTGCACCCTGTTATTTTTGTGACTTTCACCTGCTTGGGTTACATAGTTAATACCCCCTCTGCTTTGTGTTCGCAGCAAGGATAGAAGACATGAAGCAGGGCCTCCTCAACAAAATATCCGTGCTGGGAAAAGAACTACCTCTTAATACCTTGGATGAGCTCATCGATAAATTTGGCGGACCAGATAAAGTCTCAGAGGTACGAACCTTAGACACTCAACTACAAAACTCCAGCTGGTGGGATTCACATGTTCTTCATCTGTCGCCACCACCTGCATTGAAGTGAACAATGTAATTTTTTTAACTACAGATGACTGGTCGTAAAGGTCGTGTAGTTCGTCGTCCTGACGGTAGCGTCCGCTATGAATCACGGGCTGAGCAGGGTCTTACCATCGACCACATCAACATCAAGGAAAAAGACCGCTTCATGAGTGGAGAGAAGGTCAGATACATCAAATTGAAATATATATATATATATATATATACGTATATGTAATGTCTTGAATGGCTCCACCGTCTTCAAGAAATTTACTGCCTTCTAAACGTTGTTCATTAAAATCTCCATCAATATTCCAAACCTCACTCTCTATTCCAGTTGGTGGCCATCATCTCAGAGGCAGCCAGCTCTGGGATTTCCCTGCAGGCGGACAAGCGAGTGAAAAACCAGCGACGCAGGGTCCACATGACCCTGGAGCTGCCATGGAGTGCAGACAGGGCTATTCAGCAATTTGGTGAGTTAAGGAAATCAATCTTACAATGAGCCTTTCAGAGGTAAAGGGGGAGTAAATGCTTGAGACTAAAACTAAATTATTAAAAGTAACTTACAGAAGAGGAAGAAGTCTGGAAAATGGCTCATTGCAACTGACACCATTGTGTTAACTAATATGTGGCTTGAGTGTAATTTTTCTGCCGCACTTCATCGTATAACAGCTTGAAAGATGGACTGGTTTCTATTTGTCAGGGGTTCATCAGCTTTCTAGCATTTACTGCTTTCAATATATATTTTTGAAACAGGTAGCAATGTTAGAGTCAAAGGTTATCGGGAATATCAAAAGAGAAATTTGTAGGAGTAGTTTCTTCTTCAAGGTCAGGAGAGGGTCACTGCCCTGCCAAATTTTATTCCTCACTCTCACGTTTAAGCCAGAGGTTACTAAATTAGGACAAATGCTGTCTTGTCTCACTGAAACACTGCTGGTCATATGAGGCTGTGATTGCTACCAGTTATTTCACATGGCATACTCTAAACATTTAACCTTTCACACTGAAAACAGTTGCAGTTGTTTAATCCATTACTGAGTATCAGCATTGCTTTGCAGCAAATGACAAGGATTTAAAAAAATGCATGCTCTGTCTCTGCATCTTCAGTCCCCCCACACACACACACACACACAGACACACACCATCGGAGAGAAGTGGATGATGAATTAATTGGTCATAGTAATTATGAAACGTATTAAATAAGACTTTCCATTAGCGACGTCCGTTCAGCTCTGTATGAAATGGCGGGTTAATAGCAGGTTAATGCTCACATAGGCCAGAGCACACATTGTGCAAATACACACACACAGTAAAAGTTATTTACTCACGAGAAGAAAAAACATTCCAAAAGGTTTTTCTATTGAAATCAAGAGACTTGTTATAGTCAATAACACCTGGCTCAAACAGAGGATCTTCTCCTATGAGAGCAAAGATTAGTTTTCTCTGTTTTTTGATATTGCAGATCCTATTCAGTCACCAGTAATACCCGCTTCTTACTTTTCTGTTTCTGATTATTTATCCTGTCTGTCAGTGGGTGCAGCATATGTTCACATGAAATCAGTAACTTGTTTTTGTTATTATATCATGTTTTGTGTGTCTGGTTGTTGACACCAATAAAGTCTGTTGAAACCACAGCTGTTGCACGTACAGGGACATCAAGATAAGCTGGTGTGAAATTATTTTCAAATGACAAAATCTTTATCATTCCATACTGCTAGTGTGTCATTTCAAACCTTAGCAAAACAATACCTCATTTGTGAAGAATATTTCCCTCAGTCGTCATCTCTTTAACGCTTTTAGTTGTAGAGACTGTGTCTTATCGTCATCTTTTCCTTGTCTTTTCAGGTCGCACCCATCGGTCCAATCAGGTGACAGCCCCAGAGTACATCTTCCTCATCTCAGAGTTGGCTGGGGAGAGACGTTTTGCCTCAATTGTGGCAAAGAGACTAGAGAGCCTGGTAAATATAGTGGCCTTATTAATGGGTTTATGTGGATGTGCATGTTGAATTCGCTCTTTTTATTTTGCACAATTTCTTTTGTCCCATATTTCCTTTGTTTTTCTTTTTAACTCAGTGAAATCTGTGTTATGGGGAAAAAATCCTTTTCATCTTCTTATCCTATGGAGTGTGAGAAGAATTGTTCCACTGTAAACAGAGAGGATCTGTGCTTTGTGTTTATTGATTGTTGTGCTCTGGGTTGCCATACGACTCTGCCATTTGCATCTTAACCCTGCTCTCACCCTCTGTCCTTCCTGTTTCGTGGGGTGTTCCCTACACTAGAGATTCTCTGTAGAGTCTCTTTTATTGTTGGTTCACTTGAAGTTACATCAACTTTTCTCCACAAACCCTCAAGAGACTCTGGGTCTTTCCCCTCTCCAGCTCCAGAATGGAAAACTGAATAAGCAGAAAAAAAGCAAAGAGCTTGTCTGGATAATTTATAAGTCTGTGGTTATTTTCCACAATTATCAATGCATTTCAGCACTAGCAGTCATTTATTTCCATAGTGACACAGCATGACAGTTCTTTTGGGAAAAGGGTAAGGAGGGTGCGAGGGAATGGCAGTTCCAGGAAGTCGTTCCTGTGTTTGCCAGCTGCATTCGGTAATCTGCATCAAGAATAGGTCACATCTCGTCTGGGTTCTTGCCTGCCTGAACCCGATACAACACAAATGCACACACACACATAGTCACTGCAACTAGGCGGCTGAATACCTTTGCAAAGGGCTGACTCCAGATCAGCAGTGAAGTCATATTTGGCGAAGGCATCCCTTTGTTTTGGTATCCCAAGGCATTTTTCTGTGTGGGCAGAGCCAGCAGCTGGCCACAAGGCTGGTCTGCTGTTGACTTGGCGTCTTCTTAACTTTCCTTCACCTCCCTCACAGTACATTTGAAATCTTAAAAGCACTAAAAACCACCAAACACAGGCTAGGATCTTCAGTATCCTCGGCATTCAATTTTATGTATAGATGATTTGCTTATCACTTTGCAAAATGTGTATTGGAGTCCTATTGAGGCACAAAGTAATGCCAGTAGACAGCTAAAGAAAAAGTTTGCCTTCACGCCTCAACTTCATTAGTTTACTCTGACACCCTGGACACACACCAGGCTGTGTACTCACATCGGTGAGTGTGCGCGTGTGTGTAATGATGCTTTCCCATGCCGCTGTTTGATGCAGAACAAATGTACCTGCATCTGACAGAGTTTGGACCCTTCATATCAGACTATTGTCACAGTTTAAGTCCTGGGTTATTTGACTCAGAGTAGTTTCACAGATGAGACATCATTAATAAACCACAGAGTTATATCAGACTGATTATAAATTTATTTGCCAAATTGTGTTCTAGATTCTAAACATTTTTTGAATTTGATGCCATTTCCTTGTGAATATATTTGGGTTTTGAACTGTTGGTCCGACAGATGTTTTATAGACCAAACGATTGATCTATAAAGTAATCTACAGTTTAACTGTTTATGAACGTAATGCAACCTTAAGTTAAAGTGGTGGTTAAAGTGTTTACAGTGGAAATTGTGCTTGGAAAATATGCAAATAAAGTTGTGGATTTCTACAAATTATAAAAAGTTATTGCAACATAATAACATCCACTGTATGACAATGTTAAGTAACTGATTGAGAAAAGCAGAATTAATAGCTCAAAGTCCACACCGATATACACTGTAATGTTATATTAATCCTATAATAATTGTAGAGAAACAATATAGTTTTTAGCTGTAGAAGCTGCACTCTCCCATCACTGTGTCCATCTGTACAAGTGTGTGATGATGCTCAGATGGCTGTTAAGCAAATACTGCTAATACTCATAGTACTACTACTACTACGACAACTACTCATAATAATAGTGATGATGATGATGATGATAACGATAATAAGAATGATAATGATGTTGCTAATCCACTTTGCAGGGTGCATTAACCCATGGAGACAGAAGAGCCACTGAATCCAGAGACCTGAGCAAGTACAATTTTGAAAACAAGGTAAATAAATTTAAGAACATGAGAATCATATTCTGATGTTCAATGGGAAAAATGTGCTTCTTTAATATTTAAACTATTTAAGATTGTCTCTCTTTTAGCAGTATACAGTATCTGAGAGAATGTGTTCATAATAACTGGGTTTCCCTTTTCTTGCAGTACGGTACCAAGGCTCTGGATAAAATCACCAAAGCAATCCTTGGCCACATAGAGAACAAGGTGCCTCCGCCCAAAGGATACCCCGGGGGTGACGCCATCTTCTTCAGAGGTCTGTTTTAGCTTCAGTTGACCGTGCTGGTGAAGCTGTTCTAAGTTTACAGATGCTGCCAAAGTTTTCTATGATTAATCAGTGAAGCAAATATGTTTTTATTTATTTCAGACATGAAACTCGGAATGATGGATGTGGGCATCTTTTGTAGGGAGTCTCGCTTTGGGATCAGTACTGAGAAAGGTAGGGTACCCAAAGAGGCATGTGGGCAAATTTCATTCCAGTATGCTCAGGCCACCTACTTTAAAATATAACGCAGCTGTCTTTTGTGATCATCTGTCAACACAAAATTAGTTTCATTAACTGTTCCGTGTTCTGTTTTTATCTCAGACTGCAGCATCACCAAGTTCCTGAATCGTATCCTGGGCCTGGAGGTCCACAAGCAAAACCATCTCTTCCAGTACTTCACCGATAACTTTGACTACCTAATTGAGAAGGACAAGAAGGAAGGCAAATACGACATGGGAATCCTAGGTAAGGAGCTCAAGTGTCACTCATAAAGACCAAATTTTAGGTTTTACTTCAAAGAACAATCTGTAAACATAATGGTCGCCACCATAACAACAAGTAAAAACACAGGAATGGAATCTGATATCACTTTAAAATGTATTGACAGGCCTTTTAATGAACATACTAATACTGGACAACAACTAAGTTATAAATCAATTATATCAGTAATTGTTGACGAACACTGACAGTAGCTGCTGTTTGTCTGTCAATGTACAGTACCTCAAACTGGATTGTAATTGGCCCTTGAGAATTGAGTTTTATAAAGTTACTTCCTAATCTTCTAATATTGGTCATTATTTTGGTTCACTTGTTCTTTGTGTCTCTGACAGACCTCGCCCCGGGTAACGATGAGATCTATGAGGAGAAGCAGGAATCCTTCCTGACAGCTGGAAACCCTCAGGATGGACAGGTTGTTCTCTATAAGGTATGGACCGCATAACCTCATCTCAGGTGTCTCAGCAGAGGGCTTTTCAGCATTATGTTGTGAGACAATGACATCATTGTGTTATATCATGAGTTATCCTGCCATGTCTAACCTTAATTTTAAAGGACTCAAAATAAGAACTATCTAGCACAAATTAAGAAATGTGTCGGCTATGTGGAGCTGTATGTAGAATGTATCAGCCTTGAGGGGGCAACACTTAGTCTGAGCACAGGCATAATATAGGCCAAGACTGTTCTTACAGCATCACACGTCATGTTAAGATGTGACCGTCTTTGCCTTGTAACAGACTGAACACTGCTTTGTTGTGCCTGCCAAGACAGCTTGAGCATTATGAACCAGAAGCGATGCTATGAATATACATGATGGCCAAAAAATGCAAATCTTATGCTCTCTCTTTTGAGTTTTATCCAGTACGGCTTGCAGGCTCCCAATAGACCAAACAATGGAAAGTTCACATTCAATGGCAGCAAAGCCATCTTCATAGATTACGAAACACATACTGTTGACTATTCATTAAGATTTTTTTTTTTTTTTAACATTTGCACTGCGCACAGTTTTTGGATACAAAGACACTTGGCACAACAGTGAAATCGTTGCACATAACCTACAGTCTCACAGGTAGTAGCAGCCTCTGCAGTTATACGTGTTTTGTTTTGATGGATGTCACTTTGCTCGCAGTAAGACTGTGATCATACAGGCTTAGCCCAGGGCTAAGGAGCCTATGTAGACAGTAGTTGTAGGTGGGAACAGGATAATTACTGGTATTTTCTGCTTTTCACTGTCGGCTGCAGGCTAACCTACATTTGACATTTCATAGTTGGCAGCAGGGCAGAATGCTGCACAGCCAGGACCAGTTTAGCAAGTATAGAGAGAGAGTGTTGGGTACATGCCTAACTGTGGTAGACGATGAGTGTCATTCACTTATACATTTGTATAACTGCATGTTATGAATTATGCGTTCATTATGCCTGTTAACTTTCAGGGCAGCAGTATGTTGTTGCTTGACTGCTTAGCTCCCCCTCATGCTTTGTCTGTGTTTTGTTTTTTTTACCCCTGTAGATCAGTGTGGACAGAGGTATGCCCTGGGATGAGGCTTACAACAAGTCACTGAAGCTCAGTGGTCATGATGAGGGATTCTACCTATCCCAGAAGGTGAGTACATGTCATAATAAGAAAACTAACCTTATTATTTAAGCCATACCTCATAGAATAGCAATGTGATGACACAATAGATGTCCACAGAAAGAATATTCTTGAACAAAAATTCACTGTCTGTGTGACCTCTCCACAGCTACGAGGTAACCACCCATGTGTGCTGCTGGCTGAGCAAGGAAGAGGCAAAAACTTCAATGTCTTCAAGCCCAACATCGGCAAGCAGACCCACCCCGAGAGCTTGGACAACCTGCACCAACGTTACCGCAAGGTAATGGCCCAAATGTCTGTTGATGAACCGGTTAATACCAGTGGCTATACACTATATGTAGTCTCCATTTGTTTGAGAAAAAAACGTCTTCTCAGTATGGGAAGGGTTTGACAAAAGACAAGGCAGGACATTTTCAGGAGTGACACATCATGCCTGCTAAAATGATTTGCAGTCACCATTTGGATAATTTAGAATATGGAGTCTGCTGCCCCCTTGTGGCCATGGAGAAGTACTGGACCAGGCAATATTAAAGGCACTGTCAAGCTGAAAAATGTATTACAGTATATAAATATATAACAGTGGGGATGATGAAGTTTCTTTTACATTCATGTAGCTAATTAAAACTTTACCTGTTTTCCCTCCCTACATGAACAACAGAGTGATGATTAATGACCATTCACCATAAGCCCACTGAACACTAGAGCCATCTCCTCCTTAATACAATCAGTAATTATAAATTAGATAAAATTATGTTATGACTTTGGTAATAAAGAGGTGTCTTTAACTTCCAACAAAGTTTCTCTGTTGGTAAAGATGGATTTTTAGCTAATTTCAGTTTATGTTGCTTTTCCAGGTGACTCCAGAGGAAGCCAGAGACAGCTGGGAGAACCAGTTCACCTTCTCCTTCAAGAAGTGTAGCCATGCCAACTGGTAAGCAAGAATCCACAGTGTCCTTTGGGATTAATGGCTCACTACATGCAATCAGGCTGGTACTCATTAGGACTCAGTCAGGGTGGATTTAAGGTCAGATGCCATTCCCAAGGATTTGCAGATCACCTGAGAACTAGTCATGAAGAAATAACCTGCAAGTCTCACATGTGACCTTGTTACCAGGTGACCAGTTAGTGGTCTTAAAATGTTTTTAAAATGTTACTATGGAACAGTCAGCCTGCCATGTATTTTTCTTGAAAGAGGGATTTGTAAAAATGAATTATAGGCTCCTTTGGTGTACGTATAAAAGATGCGACTTTTTCTTCTCTGTTTTCTCCCTAGGAATGGGAAGTGTAAGAAAATAGAGGAAGGCCAGGAGTGTCTGCAGGGCATGCGCCTGCGTCAGTACCACATGTTGTGTGGTGCTCTATTGCGTGTGTGGAAGCGTGTATCCGACGTGGTGTCTGACATCACCAGCACCAGCATCCTGCAGATTGTCCGCCTTAGAACGAAGCAGCATAACAAGCAAGTCGGTTAGTACATGCCCCTGCCAGAAGGATTCACAGTTCACTAACACAATGCACATTTGTATTAGTTTTTAGATTTCACACTGGTAGGAATAATCTCTAAATCTTGATAGAGAACAGGTCTAGCTCAGAGATTAAAATGTGAATTTGAATTTGCAGATCTCAGTGAGTTGTTTTCACGGTAGAGTGGGATGTTGTCAAAGAGCTGACACGTCTTTATGGCAAATTGAGGAAATGAAATTGATGCCCACTTTCTTTATTTTTTCCTATGATTTCACAAAGATATAAAAGATCATGAAATGGAGCACACATTATAGAAGCGCACAGCTGTGCATATTCAAAGTTAAACCTGTCTATCAATCAGTACATGTGCTGTGATATCACCGTTAAATTAAATAGTCAGTGTAGAAAAAAGTGTTTATTTAACAATTAATTTGGTGAAGTCTGAGTGTTTACTCTTCTTCTTTCCCAGGTATCAAGATCCCAGAGAACTGCGTGGCCCGTGTGCGTGAGGAGCTGTTGCTAATGGACGAGGAGGTGAAGAGAAGGCGAAAGGAAAAGGAGCAGCAGGCTGTGGAGCAGCGGCTGGCGGAGGACCGCATGCGTAAAATGGAGCAGGAGAACAAACACCTCCTGGCAAATCTGTTCAACCAGAAACCCATGCTTAACCAGTCCCTTACTCAGTCTCTCCGCCAGAACCAGATCCTCAAACTGAAACTGAACCAAAACGCTGTACCAAGGACACAAAGTGGAAGCCTCTCTCAGCTACAGAGAATGCAAGGCCAAACCCAGTCCACTTTACAGCCGCCCTCCCAGAACTTAACCCTGTTGTCCTTACAGAGAAATCCCAACCAAACCCAGCAACGGACCCATAACTGGCCCAACAATCCCACCACCACCTCCACCACCAACCAGGGCCCTCTGCCCAACACAGTGAGCCACAGCTCCAATTTCTCTCAGTTTTACCCCCAGTCCTTCATTTCCCCTTTTCCACACCTGAAGAACCCGTCTCTTCCACTCCATCAGGCCACACTGTCTCCCAGCTTGTCTTCCAAGAATCCCATGAATGAGATCTTGGACCTGACTGTCAGCTCACCTTCCCCCTCCCCAGACAGCACGGAGGGCGGGCTAGGTCTTGAAAGTCTGGCAGGACATGCAGCAGCATTCGGAGATGACTTTAATCTGGAGTCTCTGATTTCCCAGAATGCACCGAATGCCCAGCACGCTGCACAAATACAGCAGCCTCTTTTGCTACCACAGCAGCAGCACCAGCAGCAGCAGCAGCAGCAGCAGCAACATCTGCAGGCCACACAGCAGCAGCAGAATCACAACCTGCTGGCCAACAACCACCCCCAGGACTTATTAGATTTTTTTGACTTGCCCCTGTCTCCCCAGATGCCCACACAGAAAGCCAGCCCTTCATCCTCTACCTCCTCCTGCTCTTCTTCCACGTCCTCCACGTCTTCTGTGTCAAACAACCTGGTTCCTCACGTCTCTGCCGGCCTCATGAACTCATCCACCCTCATCCCAACATCGTCCTCCTCTTCTCTTTTCTCCAGCCCGCCCTCTTCTTCTTCTCTGTTTCCTGTCTCTTCCCCCTGCTTCCCCCCCAACTTTCTCCTCCCCCAGTCAGACTCTATGCCCTTACCCAACGGCCACTGCAGTTCCGGCACTCTCGACGTTCGTGAGGCTCTGAACAGCATGCTACAGGCCGGACCGGACCGCAAGTCTGTTATTCAGTACCGGCAACAAGACTAAGAGCTTAGAAACAGCAACAGCTCTGGACTGTGTTTTTCTTTAGGTCGTTTTTTTTTATTTGTCTTTTAAAGCAGAATGCGTCTTGTTCGCTGCTGTCTACGATCGCACCCCTCGGACCTACTCCCTCTCCCCTCAGGGCCTATAGTCACGTCACTGCCTGTCCTGCGCTCTGCTCACCCTTCTCTCCACCCACCTGTAGCGTTCACCTGCTTGAGGCTGTCGAGGTGATGGCGGGCTCGATCAATGCCAGATTTCTACACCAAAATGTGTCCTCCACAGTGAAAGGCAGCTGTTAAAAGAAAAGTGAAAAAAAAACAAACAAACATGTGATAACTGTATTTTATTGAACACATGAGCTGTCCAAACAAAAGCTCATTCATTGAGGTGTGGAAATCTTTAATAAACCTCCCGCTGCTGATTTTTACGAGGTATGATCGGTGAAGTTGCTGGAAGCTCTAAATGCCTTTCACCAGTTAACACCACATCTTTAGACTTTGCTTTACTGTTACTTCGCTTCACAGCCATTTGTCTTGGCTAAAAGGCCGTATGCAAGGCTTGGTTTGAGTGATACAAAAGATAGTTAAACTGGAAGACGAGAAAAAAAACACATTAAATCTTTTAGCTGATTAGCCATGAAATGCCTCAGTTTTCATTTTTTTCTTTTACATGCTCCCTCGTGTTTCTCTCCCTGCTTGTATGAACACTAGTGTGAGGAAAAAGGGAGAGGAAGAGCAGTCTGCTGTTGCAAACAGTGCCTTTGGAGAAATCTATAAATGCAGTCTTTAAAAATCCATGTAGCCTAATGTATAGATTTGTACTTTTGAGCGTTAGTTTTCATTTTAATTTAATAAGGTGTATATCTATTTAACATTTAGCCCCCTCAGTCAGTCAGTCATCATTTGTGTTTCAATATGCTGGTGATGGTTTTCAAGAAGAAGCCTCCAGTAGGCCTGTATGTGCTTGTTTGATTGTCTGTGGATCTGCGACAATGTGCTAGGAGGTCAGAGTGTTAAGCAACATGGATAAAAATTGTGTCCAAATATTTTATCACTTTTTTTTTTTTTTTTTTTAAACAACAATAACATTTAGCGGTATGACTCCTGGTTTGATTTGACTTTGAATTTCTCAGGAAAGTCTCAAGAGGTTTGTTGGGTTGTTTTATGTGTCATTTTGACCAACGTAGGTAATGAAAACTTTGTTTCAGTCCTTAATTACAGTGGATGACAAATAATTTATTGGCTTGAGGTTTGAAAAGCAAATCCTGTTGTTTTAACAAAAGCTTCACTTTGATAGTAGCAACAAGTCCAGTTATGTCTCCTTGAACCCAGTGTTCAAGAAGAGTTCAAAATATAACATCTGATTACATGTGTTTCCATTTCAGGCATTAAGGCTATAAAAACATTTGAGACATGTAGACTTGTAAGGTTCACTGTGTATAATAGTACATGTTTAAAAACCTGTGAGATCTGGCCGTCTTTGAGTGACAATGATGCACTGTTCATGACAAAATGCCAGAATAAGTTCAAGTGATCAAAAAGCAATAAAACCATATTCTACATTTGTGATGAAACAGAAATGCAACAGTACTGTTAAAGCTGAACAGGCAAAGCTTTACTGCTACCTTTGCATGGTATGAATCTTCTTATTTCTGTTGTCTTTTAGTTAAATAGGTTCTGAAATGCATACAACCTTTGTATAGTAAGTTTTCACGGGATGAACGCAATGCGTTCTTGATGTTTTAGTCATCGTTATTATAAAAGTTATTGTTATTTATATTTAAGGGATATTTAGATTTTAGATATGTTATCCTGCTTATTAGAATAGTTAACGAAATGTTTGGTCAGGGAAGTTTCTAGTTTTCAAGATTACTATAAAACAAATTCTATTATAACCTGCCACCAAATACGATTGCACTGTTCTGTACTGCTGTACAGTGTCTGGATTTATTTCTGCTCATTTCAGTTTTGCTCTTCTCAAGTAGAATTGTTTCTCCAGCTTTGTCAGGTCTGCTCCAGACCTTTGTCAGGCCTTCAGTTCGCAGAGAGATACCAAAGTATTCCACAGACACCCCTAAAGTTACTGGCTCTAAGATATCAGACCTTTTATCAATCTCAGGAAGAAACCTTCAAGAGGTGTAACAGCGGGGCGTTAGCAGAAATATATCATTTCCCCTTATAACAGTGGTGAAACTAACCAATACATGTGCTGTTTTTTCTTAACTTTGTGCTGTGACTCTTGCTGTATTTATGTTTTAGACTTAATGTGATGGGTTTGTCATTTGTCCTTGTGAAAATGTCAGTGATTCTAAATGTTTATGCCTTCTTAGGGCAAAGATCAAAGGCTGTTTCTTTGTAAGGAACATTATTTCTCTGTGGACATTTTTATTTTTATTTGTGTTGCAGTTGTTGGACATTTAATTCCTGTTAAATTTGACAGATTTTTGAGTCGATTCGCACCCAGGTTATACTGAAATGTGCAACTGATCTGTCCAAGCCTTTACACCTCCCTCAGTGCAACAGATGTTTAGGTTCAGGTTTGGACTGACTGACTCCCCGTATCACAGATTCTTGTCAATGTTTGTTGTTTTTTTGGGTTTTTTTTTTTAATTATTTGCAGCATCTGAAAATAGCATGTTTTCCTCATACCTTCATTAATTTTGCTTTTAATATTCCTCATCAGGCACATTCCGAGACATCAGTCTGCAAAAGATTTGCCTTTGATTCTGTGTGTTAGTCACACCAATAAAGCTTTATGCATTTGAGGGATATGGACCGCATTTTTAGGAAGAAAAGGCTTTTTTTAAGAATCCTTTATTAGTGTAGTTAGGCCTTTTATCATTTTATTATCATTTTGCACTAAGAATGGCATAATCAAGTTACTGTTCTCTTGTTGGTTATGATTGAGCGTTGCAAGCTTGTTGTGTTTCTGATCTTTGATGGATTCCTCTGTGTATACTGTAACCATCTCTCTTGTTTCTCCACCGTTTGCATATTATATAAATGTTATCACTCTCAAATAATTTATTGCTAACAAAAAATGAAACAAAAAACATGCTACTGATTGTATTGTTATTGTATTTTTAAACAAAGCCTATTTTTTCTGTACAAAAAGAAACTGTGTTCAGCACTTTTATTCTGGGTTGTGCTTTTGTTTTCTATATATTTATAATTTAGATCCAAATGTATATATTGTAAAATTTGTGCCTTTCAACTAATTCTTTAAAAAGGTTTTCTACTCATTAAAGGAAGGACTATATGAAATTGCAATCTTAACTTTGTAAACAAATAAAAACTTGAAGATTGCTGAAACTGAGTCTCATTTGTTCATCTGGGTTGACCAGTTTTACCACACCCAGTTTAGTTTAGGAAATGGCCTTTGTCCCAACTCCTGCTAGTTTATTGTGTATTCATGTAAGTGGGCGCAGTACGTGAGACATCTCTCCTTGTTTATTTAAACAGGTAACAGTAAAACTAACTGATGAGACAGAACATGTATAATATACTGTGGTGGAAAGCACACTTTTTAGTCTACCACATTTATTTTACAGCTGCTACTCTTACTTGAATGAAGGACCTGAATACTTCTTCCAGCACTGATAAAGTGTAAAAGCCGAACTGTTACGCTGATGATGTAAACAACTGTGTTCTGGCACCAACCAAAAATGTTTATATTCATACAAAACGTGAAAATATCCGGTTTCTGCCAATGATCGTCTGCAGTATCACATTATATATAAACTGTACTGAACTCATTTGAACTGGCCTCAATATGCAGCAACCGTTGAAGAGTCAAAGGACTCATGGACGTTTGTTCAGGGGTGGAGGCCTTTTCAGGCATGAGTGCCTACAGGGGCTCATCATCTTGAAATCTATGCATGCACACTGTTACGACCCTAAGTTGGTCAAGGGGAAAGGGCGGTAACAAAAGTCTAGATGAAGAATTTGAAGAGTCCCAAGGTTCAGGATTTCAAAGGTTTGCTGCCAACATGAAGCACAGTGTAATGTCAGGGAGAGCCGAGGCCAAAATAACAAACACAATGACCCCCCCAAAAAAAAAACAAATCTGAAACTAATACAAAAGTAAAGGTTACAATACTGACCTCCCTGACAATCTCAAAAACAGGAGAAAAAAAGGGATTAAGACATTTACAAATCATACAGACAGGCAGGCAACAAGCAGCGTGGCAAAGAGAGGGTTACAGCCAGATATGTAGAACATTTATAAGAGCTTACCTGAGAGATTATAAACAGCAGACTATCTCTGCACATTTCTCCAGTGCTCTCTGTGTAAATGTATTCAAATCTCAAGCTCCATGTCATAGCTACAGAGCACAGTGGCAATATGCAATTCAAATAAGTAAATTGTTATAAAATAAAGTTTTACAGTATCATCTGTAGAGTTTGGGCTGCCTATTATAAATAAATGCACCTCTACTGATAATTCCTTTTTGTTTGTCATATCAAAACAAAAGTAAATAACCACAACACAACCTCGCCATACATGCAGCCCAGGCTTTTTCTATTCTGTTCACTTCATTTTACTCAAATTATTCAAATTATCACAAGCAAAACTGTGAAGAGGATTTATGTATGAGGACACGTTTCCTGTTGGTGACACCGCACTGGCGTGATGACGTCGTGAAACTGAACTCACCTGTGGTTTTGGCCGCCGACGCCCCGCCTCTTCACCTGTCGTCAAGTAGATTTTGGAGAAACTTTTCAAACTACAGAAACAGCCAAGGCGGGCCGACGACACTTTAAAGATTTCGACAGGGGATTTCTAAACTTGGACGAGTCGTGTGAGAGAGTGACCGCACGTCGACACAGTTGAACCTACAGAGAGGAAGTCTACAGGTGCGTTAGCTTCAGCTCTGTCAAATGTTTCCGGGTACACACAGGTGAAGCATGGCTATCAGTCCACATCACAAGTCTGACGGGAGGGGTGGGGAGGGGGTGCGAAATTGAAATGTTTAATGAAGTAATTTTAAAGAAAACTTTGTGAAAAATCTTTGTGAAAGTCCGGCAGCTGTTACCTCACTCACATAAGATTTAAGCTAGCCACGGAGTTAGCTTTCAACATTCACAGGCGTACAGCTTTAGACTGGATATGTACACAACTAGAAGCCCAATAGCATCAGCTATATCGTCTATACACTATTTTCTTCTGAGTTTTCTTTGAGTATAGAGGTCTTTCTGTCGGCTGTGTGGTGTGGTTTGTTCAATAGCATTTTGATTTGATGGGATAAGTCAGCTAGCTATAGCGTTGTTGTGTGTTGTGTTTTGAGCGGATGGATGGATGGATGGATGGATGGATGGATGGATGGATGGATGGATGGATGGTTGGGTGGGTAGGGGTGACTGACAGCTTCAAGCCCCACTTTCCTCATGCTCACCTTACTGGTTCTGCCACACATGCAGGTTTCTACCTGCCTGCCAGAGAGTTTCACAATAGTTTCGACTCTGCATTCCCAAACAGCTGCGTCTTCCTTTCCATTGACAACAGTCAGTGTATTTACTCATACACTGTTTGACTGAGGACGACTCAGTTCTTGCTCGCTGTACTGGAAAGTTCCCTGTGACAGATTCTGGCTCAAGCCGAGTCTTTGTGGATTTTAGAAATTAACTCCTGAATTGAATGAAGTGTTTTGATCAGTGCTGAAGGCTTCTGTCAGGAGCCACCACCTACAACATCAGCAGCAGTGTGTGTGTGTGTGTGTGTGTGTGTGTGTGTGTGTGTGTGTCAATATACAGATAGTAATGTCTGTTTGGCTATTCCAGAAAATCTAAGTACTTCATCACGTTGGTGACATGTAAACAACTAATATTGCTATAAAGCAACATTGCTCACAATGGCCAAGTGCTCTTACAGATATGAAAGACATTGATACCCCTGTACGAACTGTATGGTAAAATCTCCAGTGGTATATACTGTTGCCCTTACTCAACATTACTCAACTCTAAGTACACCCTAAGTACATTCTTCAACAGATTCATTTATTTCTATTAACATTTGTTAACCAAACAGACATTTGCTAACTGATACGTGACGGTTACATGCTCAAGGTTGTTAACAGCTTTCCAAGTAGCTTAATGTTACATGTAATGTCCTCGTTATTGCCTTGTGTGTGTGTGTGTGTGTGTGTGTGTGTGTGTGTGTGTGTGTGTGTGTGTGTGTGTGTGTGTGTGTGTGTGTGTGTGTGTGTGTGTTTTCTCATAACCCATGTGAAGACATCTGTATGGGAGTCCAGGTAGGTGTAAAGTGGTTCCTTGCAGTACTTGAACACTGTTGACAGTACATGACATGAGTAACTTGCAGTAACACTGTGTGTGTGGCCTTGGCCTGTGTAATTACAGCCAGTCTGAGGGCTCTGTAAACCTCTGGAGTATTTGTCCTCCAAAGCTCGATATTTACAGAGAAGCTTTGCTGTTTCTCATTAACCACTAACCACTGTATGTTGAAGTCTGTCTAAGGCTTTATGTCTCTCTCTGTCATTAATAATTATCAGAGTGGCTTGTTTGAATGATGCACTGTTGAAGAATTTCAGGTATGCATCACACTAAAAGTAGGCCTCTGTATTTACAGTGGAGCTCGAAGTTAAGCTCTTAGCTCACCTGTAGTGGAACAAGGTGCTCTGGAGTTGAGTCGGTAGTTTGCATGTTGGTAAGCCAACAGGAGTGGCCTTAGCTTAGAATAAAAGAAACACACTGACAGAGCAGCCTCTGAGGTGGCTCTTAAGTCCTGAGACAGGAATGAGTGATTATTTACCTACTAGAGGGGGCACACCTTCAGTAAGTGTTTGTTTTAGTAACAGTAGTAGTTTATTTTCATGCTCGGTTTTCTTCAGACCTATTAATAATTCAGCCCTGGTGCCCTGGCTGACTAGAGGCCAGGTATTCCACCTGGCTGAACCCAAGCCATCTGCATCTGTTACTGTATGTGGCCACCACCTATTGTAAAACAGATACATTTTAATAATACAGACACCAGTCTTTGGATGAAAGTTCTCTGGTTTCGGAAGTGATAAGATGTTAACTATTGATATCACTTTCACCCCATGGTGCTCCCTCCTCTTTAACAATGTGGCTGTACTCCTGATGAGGCAGGGAGCTGGTAATCAGACTCAAACAGAGAGAGAGAGAAAGATTGCTGCACGCCCATGCTTTGGGGCGTGCATAAATGTTAATCATGAAAGAGAGATACCATCAAAGCTGTGTTGCCACAGTGCTATTTCCTGAACCTGAAACACAGCAGGATCTGTATAGGAACCCAGGAAACTTTACTCAGAGCAAGCAGACCTATACCGTAGCAAACACCCCATCAATTATTAACAGCCCAGTGCTCTCATTCCCTGGACGTAACCATAGCACCCAGCAGACTGAAACTCAGCCAGCAGCCTGGGACCTGCTGCTGCTGCCTTGTGGGAAAGACTAAAAGTTAACCAAGAAGCTCACATACCACTGACAGTGGGAGCAAGCTGACCTGTTTGACTTTATGAACCTTTCAGAAAGGGAATAATTGAGGATACATCGCTAATATAGCTAGCGTCATTGACACATGACCTATCAGTCGGAGGCAGAATCTCAATTTATTACTGGGCTTTTTTTTTTTTTTTTAATTTTCTAGATTTTAAATGGAATATTTTTAGATGTCTTCTTGCTGTGGGATCTGTCTGTGGATTATTTGTCTTTTGGGGACTCACTGGCTGCACAGACATTTACTGACCTGCACTGACCCATCTGGAGGTTTTCGTGTCTGTGAGTTGGTCAGCAGGTATTTTTAACAGAAGAAGGAGGCAACGCTCTTATCATGAATCTGACGCAGCGAATTAAACTGTTGAAGCACTTTGGCTCTGTGCCCCCTGAGCCTCCACCACCACTCCTGGTGGTGCCTGTAAGTGGATGCATAGTGCTGTAGCATTAACAACAGTGTTTATTGCAATGAGAGCCAGTGCTGTCTGTGTTGTTCTTTAGTAGATCATGTTACCCGAACAATGTCTGTACATATTGATTTAGTTGTATTGCACTAGATGAGTTTGAGGCCATGCTTCATAGCTACACTAATAACAACGATATTATTGTCTTAAGAACTTTAAGAAGAAGCTTCGTCAGTCCCCACAGATCATTTGGCAGGTTCATTCCAATGTTTCCAAATAAGTGTGATTAATGGATTCATTAATGAATTCATTTGTTAAAGAAAAAAAAAGAAAGAAGAAAATAGGCAAACTGAAAATACATTTTATCTATAGACTCACAAATATGGTCTGTTGAATTACAAGGAATGTGGAGAGCTTTGCATTGAAAAAGTACAAGTTCAGTCAAAGGGTTAAAGCAGTGGCAGTTCATGTCATTTTCAGTGTAGAGAAGTATGTTGTCATACTTTAAAGTAGCCAACGTTAAACTTTGTGGTATAAGGAAGATCAATAATTGATAACATTTTCTTCTGAGTCCCATTTCTTCGTATATAATCTTCTATATTATTTATATTTTACTTCACAGTAGTTAGTATTCATCGCTTCAGACTGACGCAAGACTGCATACCTGTCTGTCACATTTAAGATACTTCACTTTTCACATATCTATTTATGGGCATTTATGTACAGCAGTGCAGCTCCACCTTAAATCCACATTTCTGAAAGGGCACTAGAGAGTGACTGTGAGAGTGGGCAAAGGCTGGGTGGGGGAGGAGCGCTCCAGGTGAGGTCTCTCCTAGAGTTTTTTTTCTTTTTTTCCTTCTCTCCCCGCTGAGAGAAAAACATCACAGCTGGTCATATTACAGATAATTTTAGCAGGAGCATCAGGTTTCCGCTGGACAAAAGCCATCATCCATACGGAGCTGATTTGAGGAGGAAGTAACGGGAGTTGGATGACAGCGGGATCTGTGGTTGTTTGGTTTTTGGCGTTGCCATATGGAATATATGGCTGGCTGTTCATTGAGCGCCGGAGGCCGCAGGTGTTTTGTTCAGCTTAGAAATCCCAGTGGGAAATGGAAGTGAGGTTCACGGACCAAGTGGTAAGTAGACAGGGTGGAATACAAATGGTCTTACAGTGCACCACTGTGAAAATGCAGCTGTTATAAATGAACAAAGGACATTCATTCTTTATAATGTATGAGTCCTCACCTAAAGGTTGCTTAGTGCTGGCAACGTGACAAGCTAAAAGTCCAGGACTGCAGGTCGTGGGCTTAAACCAGGCTTCCGTTGATAAACAGAAAATCTCTGTCAGCTTTATCTGTGTTTACATTTCTTACGTTTTTTTGGCGAATTTCAATTCGATAAACATCCGATCTTTACAGGAGCGTTTGCGGTGCATCTTAGACAGAGGACTGATAGCAGAACTACTATATGCATGTCTTAATGTCTTCCTTTACCTTCAGCTATGGGTCTACATCAAATGCACGACATTCATCATGTAACCATATGATCATGTCTTACATCCATAGTTAAAGTTTAACTTATTGTATCACCAGTGTGCCGTGATTCAGCTACAGTAATGTGTTCGAATAGAGGTCAGCCTGAGCGTTGCAACACTGTATTGAAAGAGTTGTCCTCCTCAGTAGGACAGTTATGAAGTTGTATAACAATTGTCTTTGCTCGTGCAGTTCAGTTTGCTTCCGTTTTTACATCCTGGTTTCTTATTCTTGTTTCTTCCTTTCAAATGAACGTCTGATCCAGAGGTTCGAGGACTCTGCAGACAAGCTGCTGCTTGATTATTCTGTCTTTGACTGACTTGTGATTTTTAAACTGACAGATTCGTTCATCTTTTCAAACATGGGCGGTCCACACTCATTTGTGAGCTTTGCTTCTTGCTTTGCTCACGATGGCCTGTGCACCCTCCAGCTACAACCAACTGCGGTGAAACAATAACAGCTTCAGGTATCGATGTCAGTCTAGATTCAAATGCAGTCAGGAAACCCATAGCCATCTTTTATTTGAGCAATCAGGTCGGTTTATGATTAACTTGGTCAAGCAAACAACCTTCGCACACTGTTCACCTACACTCCTGGTTATCACCACCAGTGAGTTTGAGATTTTTGTGGTGATCATATTTGAGATGTTTACCCTTCAAAGAGTAGTGTTTTATTCCTTTTATTTCGTTTATTTATTTATTGCTATAACTGTAAGAAACTGAACTTCATTAAGAAATGCTGTTTGTTGGCAGAATCAGTAAATTCATATTGTGTTTTTATACGATGTGTTTGGGGGAAGTTCGATACTTGGCTGGTGTTTGTGATCTGTGAGTTCCTTTTTAAAGGTGTAAATATCATCTGTGCTGCTTTGCTGATGCTAATACATGTCAGTGCCTTGTACTCTAGTGTTTGAACAAACTGCAGGCAGTTGTTTCTACAACAGTACATCACTGTGTCTCTGATTAGAGCTGGCTTTACCCTTTCTTATTTTAAGCAGGTGTCTTCTACAGTCCATGGCCAGCCGGCACTTTGTTTTGTTTGGTTTTGAAAAATCCTAGTATGTGGAAAATGAGAAACACGACAGGCATGCTGTCATGTTAGTGCAGATAAAAGTATGTGGGTTTTTTTTGTGTAAATTAGTGGTTTATGTTTAACACTGTCATTGAGAAAAAGTTTTAGGACAAAGATCTTGCTTAAGACAGAATGGAAGAAATAAAGATGACTGTGTATGTGACGGTGGGAGAGCCCCGTTTACACTGCAGTCGAGATGTTCTTTTCTCAGGTGATTTCATAGCACTGACCCACAAAATGTGTGAGATTCAAGAGCAGTTTCCTTATTGCTCCTAGATTCTGTTTCCAGACTGTGACCGTTTACAGAGAGTCAAAATGAGAGTGGTGTAGAGGAGGCACAGTGAGTCACTGAAAAGGGGAAAAGAATTGTCCCTAGAGCTGCAACAACGAGTCAGAACACTAGTCAAAAGAAAATTAACTGGCAACTACTGAATATGAAATTATTATTTTTTAACATTTGTTGGCTGCAGCTTCTCAAATGTCAAGATGTTGCTTTTCTTTCTCATATATGACAGAAAGCTGAATATTTTTTTGGACTGTTGGACGCACCAAACAAGATATTTGAAGATGTCACCTTGGGCTGTGATAAACAGTAACTGGTGTTTTTCATGATTTTCTGACGTTTCATAGACCAAATGATGAATTGATTATAATAAAAGAATTGTTTAGAAGCCCTATTTGTCTCTGTACAAGGTTTTACTGTGTGTGCGCCTACTGAACAAGCCCCACTGTTATATGTTGTCAGCATGAACACACACACACACACACACACACACACACACACACACACACACACACACACACACACACTAAGTAGCCCCTCCTCCATACCGGTCAGGCAGGATTGAGACAGGTGAGAGCACGCTAAGATCAGGTTGAACCATACACACTCTTTCTACTCGGCTCTGGCTCAACTGTCCTCCTTGTAAGGACCTGGATTATATAATAGGATTAATAAATTATGATTTAATATTATCAAATTTAAATATTCATTGGCTAAAGTATAGAATCCTTCTCATGATTGTTTTTTCCTTTTCTTTCCAGAAACCAGGCATGGAGGAGTTAACAATATGGGAGCAACATACAATAACACTAAACAAAGTAAGTGGCTGTTGAGTAATCGAATTATGAAGCTTCATTTCAGGAATAAACATGTTGGGGGTTATGATAAATTTGAAGAGCAGACCACTTATCTTTGGCGGGTTAGTGCTGTCTGGTCTGTGCTCAGCGGCTACAGAAATGCAGAGGTGAAAGTTGAGCCGCCATGTCTGGCACAAAGGCAGTTTCACTATTGTTTCCAGGGGTATTGTGAAAGATTTGTGGGTTTTGGGGTGGACCGTCTCTCAGACCTCTCACAGCTCAGACTCCAGCAGGAATTCAGATCTACACACCCTGCTGCACCAGCTGTTCACTGGAATGTGCTCCTTCTCCCTCTATCTCTCTACTGTATCTCCTGCACAGGCTCAGGCTCTACCCACCTACTTTCCTGCATTCCTTCTCTTCACTTGTATGTCACTCTTTCATGTCTGAGCTGTGTTTTTATCTCTGTCTTATCTCCTTTTTTAAAAAAAAAAAGAGAGAAAAAAAATCTCATCCTCTCATAATTGCAGGATCCCAAGTTTGGGTTTGGGTTTGCCATATCTGGAGGCAAGGACAAGCCACACCCAGATGGGGATACAGCTGTGGTGGTGTCAGATGTGCTGCCAAGTGGACCAGCCATGGGACGACTCTTGTAAGTTGATTACCATCACCCTCGCTTGACTGTGGGAACATAAAAAACCACATGATCACCCGTCTGACTGTATATGTAAATTTACCTGGGAGGTGTGTGTAACCCACCTACAGAACCAGACTCATACATGTGTTTTCTTGCGTCTTGCAGCAACAAAGACCAAATTGTCATGGTGAATGGAACGTCCATGGAGAACGTCCACTCTAACTTCACCATTCAGATCCTGAAATCATGTGGCAAGACAGCAAATGTGGTGAGTATGGAGCCAAAGCACCAACCAAAAACCCCTCAATTGCTTCCAATCTATGATGTATTACTGCTGACTTGTCTCTAAATCTTTGGCTGTCTCCATCTTTCCCTCTCCAGACAGTGAAACGCCCTCGCAAGATCCAAATCCCAGCCACCACCAGGCCGTCTCGGGCCGCCTCCCACTCCAACCTGCTGGACCAGGACCCTCCCAGACGAACACGACGCTACTCTGACGGCAGCGAGAGCCAAGACGCCAATCACTACAGAGCCCGCAGCTCCACGCTCGATCGTAACGGGAACGGGAACACACTGCCGTTAATGTCGACGGGCTACAAGAGGTTGCCACGCCACGACGTTGCAGACAAGCCCATCAAAACTACTCTGGTTAAAAAGAAAATCACAGATGGTAAGACTTTGGGAACTGAGGAGAGAAGCCTAAGTTTGTTTGCCCTGAGTTTTTAGACAAAGATAATCCACACCTCTCAACTTTTCTGAAGACCTGATTTCTGTCTGGATACCTGTTGTTTTCCTTTTTCTGCAGAGTATGGACTAAAGCTGGGAAGTCAGATCTTTATCAAGCACATGACAGAAACAGGCCTGGCTGCAAAGGAAGGCACGCTGCAGGAGGGAGATCTCATTCTCAAGGTGAAATTTTGATTAATAAATCTGAAGTCAAAAGCTTTAACTCTTAAAAAAGTCTGGACGCTTTCTGAATTCATCAATAGTATATGAAACAATGTAATCCTAAGTTTTGTTTCCTTCAACCAGATCAATGGCATGACAACAGAGAATCTATCCCTGCTGGAGACCAAGCACCTGGTGGAGAAGAGCAGGGGCAAACTGACCATGACGGTCCTCAGGGACGACCGCAAGTTCCTGGTCAGCATCCCAGAGGTGGAGGACAGCGCCCCCAACAGCGAGGACGACCGCCGCCGAGACAGCAGCTCCGAGCTGGAGGGTGAGAGAGGGAGAGGGGGAGAGCAGGGGTAGTAAATGTGAGCATTACAGGCTGATGTGAAAGTGAAAGAAACTCTTATTGTCTCATTATTGTCTTATTATCTCTTATTGTATAAGAGAAAAGGTAATGACATGAATGAGAGAAAATAAATGGAAGAGAATAAAATGGAGGAATCACTGGTTAAGGATTTTGACCAATCATTGTTCTTTTCCATTTCCCATCAGACATTTCGGACCTTGATGCAGACATCCCCACTCACAGAACATCCCGTCAACCCACCAGAGAGAAACGCACACGCAGGTACACATAACAACTACCCCTACACCTGATAACATGTAGTAGAAACAGTAGTTGTACACCTGGGTGAGGCTTCATCTCAGTCCGTCTAAAATAAACCCAAAACCTGTTTCACCACTCGCATGTTAGTTTCATTTTCTAACCACCGAGCCATCTGCTCTCTCCTCGGCCTTTACACGCTGATTTGATTTTAAAACGTAGTTGTTTGTGTTTCTCATTTACTCAATATGCCCATCCCACATCATCGTCAATATGGTTGTAAAGCAAACAGATGGTGAACACTGCGACAATAATGTAATACAAAGTTTTAGGCTGTAGTTTGTGGTCTGGCTAAAACAAATGTGATTCTTTCAGTTCATAATGTAAAGCAGTAAAAATCTGAATTGAATTTTCGATTTTTGAAAATGGCTCCATTTTTATTGTAAGAATGCTTTATTTTATTTATTTATTTATTTATTTATTTATCTATTTTTAATCCAGAACGAGAGCTGAACCTCTTCCAGTCAAGTCTCGGGACTCATCACCCGTGCGCTCCACCTTGACTCGTCCTCCTGCGAAAACCTACGCCTCTCGTAGAGGTCAGTCCTGCAGAGAATCACTCGCTCATACTCGCTCGTACCACACAGGTTGTTGATCACATACTCCGACAAACGCTGACTGTGTTACCTGTAGAGGTATTATAATATATAAATATAAGATTGTCTCAGTGTGACACTGAGTCAAACCGTGTCTGATACAGTTTTGGCAAAGGTTTGCTTTGTGTAGCTGCTGGAAGTCACATTGAGATTGAAATCCAGAGCATGTAGGTCTAAATGCACAGCTGGACAGAGATGATGTTTGTTATTGTTTCTTCAGCTCCATATGAGTCGGAATCTGATCGCAGCGCCTCTCCTCCTCCTGTCAGAAGAGACAGACACAGTCCGGACGTGAGGGATCAGTCCAGCAGATACAAGTCAGTTCAATTTAATTTGTTTTAACGATGACAAAATGTTGAACAAACTCTGTGATTGGAAAGCACATTCATGGTATATATGTAGATTTTAAACATGCAGATAAACAATTTATCATGAAATTAACAGATGAAGAAACATTCAAAATGAATGACCATTTGAATGTTGGACAGATGAAATCAAATAAAAAAAACAATTTTGATTTAAGAATCTTTAGTTAGAATATTTATTGTCTTTTCTGGCAATATAACCAGGGTTATTATTTTATTTGATCTGGAAACCTAGCAGGAATGTATTTCCTGCACAGTGAACTCAACAGCCAGTAGACGAGTACAGGACATTAATAATTCATTTTTACATATTAGAATCTGTATATACAAGACAGAAGTCAGCTTCTACCATTTGAACCAATTCACAATAAAAGCTTGAAACATTCAGACTTATTTATTCCAGTTTCAGTTTTAGTCTGCGTTGAAAGTGATAACAGCATGGATGAACACACTGCTTGGAGTAACTATCGTATCGCTTTCAGTCCTTCAGATTTACTTTCAGTAGAAACTTTCCACGTCTGAAATCTTTGTCATGTACAAGCACTCCCTCTTTAGAAATGTGTATAGCAGCCAAGAAATCAGGTTTCTCCAGCAGTGAAGTAGTTACAGTGCTGTTCTGAAACTGAATCCCTTTATTCAGTTTAGATAACCTAAATTCACCTTGACAGGTCATTAAACAAATCAGATAGAGCCGACAATTTCCAGATTGTTTAAATGCATGAAAACACAACAAATGTGAAATAAGGTGTTAATAAATAACATTTTCTTTTGCTTGTTTTGCTCTTTCTCCAGAGCTCTCTCCGGTATGTCCACCCTCCCCAACCCCCGGTCCTCTCCTGTAGCCCACAACCGGACCACCTCCCACCCTCCCTCCAACGCCTCACGGCCCCGCAGGCCTGTGTCGGAGTCAGACTCAGACCGCAGCGCTTCCTCTCCTCCGCGCAGACAGAGCCCGCGCCCAGACAGCAGATACAAGTAAGGACAATGCTTTATTTAACTCAAATTAAAGGTTTTGGTGATGCAAAATGCTGATTAAAAGTGTGATGATATCTCATCAATAGGATGAATAAATATACAAGGGGATGTCAAGCATCTGTATATAAAAATGTAATTTTCTTCAATAGTCATAATAGTTCCACATCTTTTGTCTCATCGGATTATTTTCTAACCATGTTTCCTTCTGTGGTCTTGTTATTTCCCGCAGAGTTCTCCCTGATCTGCCTCACCCCATCACTGTTCGCCAGGAGCCACCAAGGAGGGTCAGCTCGCCTCTCAGAGTCCCACCCCCAGGTCAGCACACACACACACACACACACACACACACACACACACACACACACACACACAAAACAATCCAAGTTCCTTGTGATGGTACACATCCTGGACTTTGACAACTCTTCAACAATATTTGCTTAATCTTTCAGTGTTTGCTGCTGAACAGGTGTCAACAGGCAAATAAAGGTCAAGCCAGAGCAAATACTCTCTATATTTCTATATTTATAAATCCCATTGCAAAGGAGAAAAAGACTTTGCTTGTATAAGAGAGCAGTTTTTATGTCACATTTACCATGGTGACACATAAACAACAGGCAGCATAGAGGCTGAGAGAAGCTGGCAATTATCTGACTATAGTTGAATTTTTTAATGCAAACATATTAAAGGGTCAGTTCACCCAAATAATGAAAACATATTTGGTTTATTTTTAATATTTGGTGTAACTCTCTTACATATTTCAAAATGAATGTTTTATAAATGATAAAATACTATATGTATCAACTTAAATTTTCCCAGAGGGCGAAAAACATTATGTTGTGATAAATAATATCACAAACAACACTTGTCATTTTCGTGCTGCAGCACAGTAAGAGCCATACTTACTGCAGTTTTAAATCAGACATATTTAATCACCGTTTTTCTCTTTCGTCTCAGACTCTGAGTCCGAGTCGGACGGCAGCTCGGGGCCTCCTCATAGGCACAGCACCTCACACAGTCAAGACTCCCTCAGCAGATACAGGTACAGATGAAGGTCTGCCCAACCCCAACTTCCAACCCCCACCCACACCCCCCCCTCCTGAAACCTAACAAGATCTCACGGACTGGAAACTGAACAGATTGTGCACGCTTTTGCCCTTATTTACATTAGCTAATCATACATTTTTATTTACTTTTAAACCATACATTACCCATTTCTGTCTTGTGATTGCTTTGCTTTGCTCATTTTGTGCCTTAAAGCCTCATTTTTTAGCCTTTGCTTGATTTGTGTTTTTGACTGTGTACTGTGTGTAATTGTTTGTGTTGACATTTTGTTAACCAATGAAATAAAAGCGACTTTCACGGAACATGTCCCTCTCCTGTATGTGGCTAATAGTTGATTAAACAGAGGAAACTTATAAATGAAGCAACAATGTGCCAATCAAACATCTGTAAAATAGTCCCAGATGTACTGATCAGTCCTTCCCTCAGAGATACTAAGGTGAATATTCAACATTTCAGTCTTATCCTCTCAGCAATAATCATCATATCAGCCACGGTTCCCCCCCCTTCTGCAGACGTAACTGAGATTTGTTGTCTTCCTCCTCCCTCACTCCCACCTCCCTCTCTTCTCTTCCAGAGTCCTGCCCAATGTTGCCCTGCAGCCCCAGGTGGAGCCACCGCGATGGAGCGACGCCAGTGTCGCTGCCAGAAAGCCGCCACAAAAAGGTTTGTGTACATAATGAAGTGCCTGATTGTGTTTGTAATGAGCATTATGATAAAGTTGTGGAGGGAGCTTTTGTGTGTTCTTGTTTGATTTTAAAGAGTTGTGTGCCAAAATCTAATATTTGTGTTTTGAGAAAAGCATAAACTTATATTTTGTGGCTTGAATCTAACTTTTCTTTTCTTCTTAATAATGTATTTTTACCAAGTCATCTACATTTTTTTAACCACTGGTGAATGTAGTGCAGTATAAAATGGTTCTTGTAAAAGCATTTAATTTGTGGTTTCATCCTCACAGCTCATTCAGATTCTGAGTCAGAAGCCAGTTACGCATCTGTCCCCCGCAGGGGGTCCACAGACAGTGGAAACTCCAACACACTCAGCAACAGATACAGGTGAGAGACACTTGACACTTTAATGTCATAAAAATGTTGACTGTCATACTGTTGACATATGAGGTGTTTGTCTGCAAGATTTGTCTCAACAGGCAAGTTACCAAGTCAAGCACCTGTTAGTCAAGTTCCAAGTGCTAAGACATTATATCGAAATGTGTCATAACTCAAACGTACTTTCTCATAACCAGCAAACATCAACATGACCTGTGGGACAAACCAGAAAACCTAACTCTGAACCAAGTATTTCCGAGGGTCTAAATTTAACCTCGACCAACACTGTTGACAGTAAACCTGCGGTGCATTGATAGTAACTAGAGTAGGTGTGCGATCAGAATATGGGCAGATCACCGAATATCTGTTGATAATCAATTGAAAATTTTGAACTGATTGGTCTTTAATATATGTCACTGTACAGTGTTGATAGCAGATTATCATAATAAAGTGTCACTGAAGGAGTCTGTCAGTCAGATTAGTCAAGTTCTCTCTGACACACAGATTGACTGTATTGATCCTGGAAAAGTTGTCGTCGTAAAAAAGAAAGTTGGTCACCACTGGGAGCTGGGGTTTGATCACAGTTATAGGAAAGATGCAAAAGCCAAGAAATAAAAATCAGTGTGTTTAACTGGAAGTAGAATCAAACTCTTGAACCTGCTTGGTGAAGAAAACGCGGTAGAAAATTAGCAATTCTTCACTGTAGAGATGTGTGAAATAATACTGAGTCAATGTCTGACTGGTTAATCTGCTAAACACGCACACACACACACACACACACACACACACACACACACACACACACACACAGAGGAGTGTCTAAAACACTCTGCACACACTAGTGCACATGACAAGACTTCCTGAAAAGATTGCATCACCTGATGTTTCAGTCTAACTGCAGAAAAACAACACAAGACATTTGATATGACTCTTGCATTTCACGTTGATTTCACTCATGATCATTCTGTTCCTTGTTACGTACAAGAAGATGACAAAAAAAGCTCAAGAGATATACTGTAGTTCTTTACATTCATTTTTCTTCCAATCCCTGCGCTCCTCTCAGAGTCTTCCCTGAGACAAAGACCACCTCAGTCGCCGTGAAGCAGGAGCCTCCTCATCGTGTCCCATCACCCACCAGACCACCTCCCGATGGTCAGTTCACTCTCCCCGTGTGTCACAGGCTTACCCTCTTCCTCTCCTCATCTTAATTGTCATCTAAAGATTTAGACCAAACTCCTTGTCATCTCTATATTTCACTCAGATTCCTCGGAGTCAGACCAGCTTTCACATCTCAGGAGGTCTGGGAGCTCGGAGCGGGAGGAGAGCCACCGCAGGTACACAGTGATGTTATTCACTTCCTCAAATATACAAACGAGTATTAAATCATATCGGACGATAATCGGAAACATGCTTACATGGAAACTTCTTCTACTTCTTCCTATTGTATATTTTCTCCCTCATTGGGACATTTCCTCCAGCACTGTGGTAAACACGTTGTTACACGAACATCACACACATTATGTCTTCTCCTGCTCACAGGGTTCCTCGCGCTGCTAATGGAACTGGCACCCTCAGGTCTGGGATCTCAGTGAAGAGCAACCCACCACTCTACTGTAAGGCTCGAGACTAGCAGTGATGTGATAAGTCAACTGACAGAAAATCAAGTTTGACAGCCGTTTGTATTCTGTCAGTATTGGACTGCAATTGCGATTATTGATGAATGGTTTAGTAATTCATTAAGTAAAACTGCTACATTTCTGCTGGTGTTGTGGCGATGGCTCTAAGCTTTGAATCTGAGTGTTTAAAGGGTGTGTTACAGATTTTTCGCCAATTCCTTTGTGGTCAAGCAGAAAGACTTAGTGGATTTTCTCAAAGGAAAATAACTTCTGTCCCATAAAATGGGACTAGGATCAATAGATGGTGCGATAAACCGACTGCACATAATAGTGGTGTTAAGTTACCTCCTTAAGCAGTGTTAAGGTTTCACTTTGAACTCTGATGATACTTCTATGATTATTTTAGTCATGTTATTGACTAAATAAGAAATTAAGTGAAAAGATAAAGTGATAATGAAATTAAGAATCTCACAATTCCCATGCTTCTTCCAGCCAAGCCTGTAGAAGAGCCCATCTACTCCTTACCTCCAGATTCTTACCCATCACCTAATCCAGGGTGAGTAATGTTGATAGTGAAGGTTTATTCATGTGGATAGCAACATATTTTTCTTCATGTTTGAACCAGTTAATTCACTTTCAAAGGAATTAAACCAAAATCTAATTGCTTTGCATGCTTCTTCTGGCTGCCTGTTTCTCTCAGGTACAGCTCCGACGTGCACACAGTGTCGTTCGTGAAGGAGGGCAGCGTGGGCCTGAGGCTTGTGGGAGGCAATGATGTCGGCATCTTCGTAGGTGGAGTTCAGCCAAACAGCCCTGCATATGACCAGGGGATGAAAGAAGGAGACCAGATAATGCAGGTGAGATACTGGTCCTATACTTCAGCTTGTGCTTATTTAGTTCATTATTACCACTTACAGCTGAAGGGCAATGAAGAGGTTAATATTCATTTCAGCATCTAGATCCAGAAAACTTTGCCCTGTTTAGAGCCCAGTAGTAACCCCTGTTTTGGAAAGTCAGCTGATTTTCAAGATTGTGGAGAGTTTGCATCAGTCTGCCAGAAATATGACCAGTCAGCACAGTTCATGTTGTTTCTCAGTGAATGTCACAACTCAGAGCAGCTGGAACAAGCACAGTTAAATAAATTGATTTATTTTGGTTTTTATTTATAAACAGAACGTGATCTTGTTGTTCAGGATGATAAATGATGGAAATCTCACTGTGACATTTATCTGACAACGGCAGATGTTGAATGTCTTTTTACAGTTTTTTAAAAATTTAAAACGGCTGGAGATAAAACGTCTTATCCCTCATACTATTATTACACGCTTGTGTCTCTTTTTACTTTTTTCAGGTAAATACAGTTGATTTTGGCCATTTCACACGTGAAGAGGCGGCCAACTTCCTCCTGAAAATCAAGAAAGGAGAACAAGTGGAAATTTGCACACAGAACAAGATGGACAGTAAGTGTGGCATAAAACTGATCACAGGATAACTTCCTTTGAGTGATGGAATTTATCAATCCTAAATTTATTGTCTCCTCAGTTTATAAGAAGATAATCAAGTCCAACCTGGCAGACAACTTCTACATCCGCACGCACTTCGACCATGAAGCAGAGGGACACATCGGCCTGAGCTTCACCAGAGGAGAGGTGTTCAGGGTGGTGGACACAATGCACCGTGGGAAATTGGGCAACTGGTTGGCCATCCGCATGGGGAACGACCTGCACGAGATGGATAAAGGCACCATCCCCAACCAGGCCAGGTCAGGAAGGGATAAAGAGAGATTTAGATGTCTAATTTGAGCAAGAACCATAACTCAGCTTTTATATCTCCTGCAGGGCGGAGACGCTGGCCAGCATTGAGCAGGCACAGCGGGCGAGTGGAGAGAGGCAGGTGTCAGGACCCAGAGCTGAGTTCTGGAAACTACGGGGTCTAAGAGGGAACAAAAAGAATGAAAAGAACATCCGTCGGAGTCGTGAAGACCTGCTGCAGCTCACCATTCAGGGCAAATTCCCGGCCTATGAGAGAGTCCTGCTCAGAGAAGGTTGTTTTGCATCCTCACACAGATGATGCCATGTAGAATCACGTCCTAACTCGCTAACTAGTCCAACAGGTTTTAATGATCCTGAATTGTTTCTGTCTGCAGCTAATTTCAAACGGCCCATTGTCATTCTGGGTCCTCTTAATGACATTGCCATGGAGAAGCTGGCCAGAGAGATGCCTGATGAATATGAGGTGGCAGGTTGGTTTCTTCTTTTTGTCACTTTCTCACCTGATTTTTCAAGTTCAAAATAACAAAATTCCCGGTGATATCTTCCCTGTGCCTGTCACTTATTCTCCTGATATTCTGTTTATATTAACATTTCATTTGTTTTTCAGAAATGGTTCCTCGCAGTGGAGGAGCAGAGAGCGCCTCCACAGTAATTAAACTGGACACTGTGAGGAGAATAGCAGAGAAGGTGAGTAGTAAGAGCCAGAACTCAGATTAGCAAATAGAAACAAACACTCGACCAATCCTGTTTTCTTTTGTGTTTTCTTTCTACCCCTCACACCCTCTTTGCTTGTGTTTTTCTTTGCTCTGTATTCTCAGGACAAACACCCTCTTCTGGACATCACCCCCACTGCAGTGGAGAGACTCAACTATATCCAGTACCACCCGATGGTGCTGTTCTTGGACCCTCACAGCCGCAAGGACGTCAAGGCCATGAGGCAGAGGTACAGCCCCAACTCCAACAAGAGCTCCAGACGCCTTTACACACAGGCCCTCAAGCTGAGGAAACACTGCAGCCACCTGTTCGCAGGTAATGACACATGACCAGAGTCCTGCCATGTCACGTTTTACATGAGAACACATCAGTCTTTATATAGTACAGTAGTCATGTTTATTTATCCATTTATCGCTGATAGATACAGGTGTAGTTGTACCAATTCATAATGTATATTAATTGTTTTTTTCCTGACTTCCACAGCACGTATTGACCTGCAGCCCAACTCCAATATTTGGTACGAAAGTCTGAAAGATAAGATACGCCACCAACAGTCCAAACCCGTCTGGGTGTCCGAAGTCACGGTACGACACACAGCTCCTTCTGACTCACACACATCTGACTCTTTCAGGTTTAACCCCTTTACTCTCACAGTTGTAGTTCAGCATGTTGCTACAGTCTCATTTAAAACAGTCAGAAAAGTTAACTTTCAATGTTTACATTCACAACCTTGCATTTACTATTGTGTATGATTAAGTATATGATTAATTTAGTGAGTGATTCATGGCTCCAGTAAGGAGGAAATTTCCTCAGCACAAAAAGGATCATGACATACGTCAAATAACAAACCCATGAAAGTTGCTACATTAGCGTAAATCTTTAATATGGATATTTAATTTATATTGTATATATTTTTAATGTAGGTATATACAAGTTTTCATTCTCACAAAACGCTTAATTTAAGGAGCTGGCACCTGTATTATCTATCCTACAGTTTAAACATCTCTTGTTGTCCAATAATACAACTTCTCTGTCTGTCCAGTTGGAGAGTGGTGGAGAGCAGGACTTGGATGCTCTGGACCAAACCCAGTCAGACTACCTCAGTGCTGCTAGTGACCTGGAGGACACTGACGGAGAGGCCTTCACAGACGGAGAGGCCTACACCGACAATGAGGATCTTGAGGAAGCTTATCCTGGTCAGGAGGCAGCCAGGCTCTCACGAGGCACCAGGCCAGCTGGAGCTGCTTTAGCCCGATCATCTGAGCCGGCCTCTGGGCACCGCAGCCCCACCTTCGACCCCGAGCCGCACGCTGACGCATACTCGGTCAGAGAAATCCCACCTTTGATGCACGTACCTGAGCCCAGATCCAGCCAACGGAACAAACACAGCCCACCTCACAGCGCTGCTGAGGAGGAAGACCCCACTCATCGCAGTTTTACAGACTCTGACTTCAGCGCTCTTGATGTAATTGCGCCCACCACTCCATCAGATGGACCTCCGGATTTTATAGCCCCCGACCCAACCACTCAGCACTCCGTGAATGAGCCCTCATATGCTCAGGTGCAGCCTGAGAGCCCACAACATGCAAGCCTGTCTGCCATTGAAGAGAAATTACAGCAGGTAAATAAAATGTTGCTCTCATTTAAAGGGCTGTACATGTTTTTTTTTTTTTTTTTTTGCACGTGTAAGCCCATTTAATCAAGTGATCTTTAGAGCTGAAGTAATTAGTTGATTAATCAATTACTCAGTCCATCAGAAGTAATTAGCAACAGTGAATATTTGCTGTTTGTCAGACAAAACAGACTGTTTAAATATGGAAACTGCAATATAGTGATGAAGATTTTTCCAAATATTGTTATACTTAAGAGACCAAATGATGAATCAAGTATTTCAGAAAATAATCTGCAGATTAATCGATAATGAAAATAATCGTTAGCTGCAGCCACCGTGTACTTAACATGACTGTGTGTTTGTGCTGTGTATTATAAATGCTGATGGAAAAACATCCCAACAATCCAATTCTTTCACCCAAATGTAAAGATTATGGTAAATGTTTACTGTTGAGGCAGGTTTAAAGTCTCTGTTAGTTCACTTTTCCTACTGGAACCAGTGGCTGACTGGAAGTTAATTCTATTATATAACAGTTACTGTTTTAGAACATGGTCGTCAGTATTGTAAACGTGATTATGTGATTTGTAGTAAATGGTCTTCAAAATCCAGAATTGCCAATATAGTTTTAAAGTCACCCAAGAATCTGTATGAAACCAAGACTAGTCATGCTGTCTGTGTTTGCAGTGAGTTAAGAATCAGGAGGAGCAATGAGGAGCAAAGATTATGAGAAATCCTTGTTTAAAATCATCTTTGTCCTCTCTTCTAGGCTCGCGTGGCAGAGCCACAAGCTGAGGAAAAGAAAGGCCCTCAGTTCATCGTGTAAGTCTTCTGGGTTTATGGGAGTTATGAGAGTATTACCAGACTTAGGCTCTGTGCTAACTCTGACGCTTCTCTTCTGCCCTTCGACAGGCTAGCACACCATCACCAAGCAGTCCAGTTCAGACGCACGCAGATCCGAGGCAGCGACAGCTCTGAGGATGAAGAGGATGAAGAGGATGACATTGAATGGGGTCCTGCAACAGAACTCTAAACACATCAAGGATTAAAACTGGAGTCCAATAGGAAATTTCATCCGCCTCAAGAAACTCGTCTTGGATCATTTAGTTTTTGTTCTGCAGAACTTTAGTCGCCCTCTTCAGATGTGGGATAGTAGAAACTCTTGTGTTCAAGATTACTGCAACTTTTTACTACGAGTATTAACATCTCAACAAAAGGCTCTCAGATCAACGTCAAAGTGCCTAATCTCTTTTCAGATTTTTTTATTTAAATAACCCCATGTGAAACAAATCAGTGTGCTCTTTGTTTTTGCTGTTTTATGTAACATATTAACAAATTCTAGTTGTATTAGAAACTGAGTGTCTTTTTATGGAAACATGCCAGGACATTTATGAAATATTTGAATGGCTCTTTTAACTTTTTCTACATTAAAGTATTTTCCTGATTTCAAAGTGGGTTTGTTCAGTCACACAGAATGGCAGAAGCCTATAAATGTCTCTAATGTTGAGTTTAATTTTTTACCAGGTTTCACATGAGTCAATTCAACCCTGATCAGTGATAATCACTCAGATGACATAATAATGTAACTGATTACTCTTGATGTGGACAGTGGAATTTTAAAACAGGGTGTGACACAGAGTGTGGTAACAATGGCAATGTTGTGTGGAAATGTACATGAACTGTGAGTTGACATGTTAACAACTGAGGAAAGTGGGCAGTAACCTGACCTTTTATCACAAATTGGTTTGGTTATATGAACGTCTAAAGCACAATATAAACTGATATAAGTGTAAGATATTTTCACATACTAATAAGACAAAGAGCCTTGTGTCAAAATCTAGTTTTAATAACGTTCATAAATTCAAGTTGTTTTTAAATTCAAGTAGTTAATGTTATTCTTAGATGGTGCATATTGTTAAAGATCCCATATTTTACACTTTCCAGTGTTTTATTTGAAGTGTTGATCCATAAGAAGATATATTTGTGATTTTAAGAACCAAAAACATTCTCAGTATAGTTTTATATCTCCTCTCTCAGGCTTCTCTCTGGATTTCTAGTAACAACAGGTCAGTGAGCCAATCAGAGTAGAGACTCTGAACATCTCTCCTGATTGGCTGTCTGCTTTTCGAGTGATCAAATAAAAATAAAGCAGATTGCAGGTAAACACTCAGATAAAACCAAATCCTGCAAGGTTGCAAGGTGGGTCCGCGTGGGCAGGACTTTGGGCATGGCTGAGGGCCGGGACTGCTTTGTTGTGACATCACAAAGTTACAGAACTCCTGGCAGCTCGTTTTAAGGCTCAGTTTCTGAATATAGGCTGTGTGCATTTCTCTGTGGACTGAGCACTTTGATACTTTCACAGTATTAATACAGAACCTAGACCTGCTTTATTATAAAAAAAAAAAGACATGGAAATCTCACTTTGTACAATATGGGACCTTTAAATAAGTGTGTGTAATCAAATTATCACAAACTAACAGGGGGAAAGGGGGGGGGGCATGAGGGGCCTGCAGCTCATCACAGCCCTGAGGCCTCCCAGCATTTAATCCATGCTTCACCACTATCACACAGTCATACTTGTATTTCACCAGATCAGATTTCATAGTTCAGGCCTTTAGTTTGATGTGGCACTAATTTTTTTTTTTTTTTTTTTTAAATACATTTAAGCTTTATTGCACCTTTAAATAAGTTGAAGTGTTTTTAATATTTTAGTTTGAAAACCATGTATATACATTTATGTGGTTTGAATTCTCCACTTTATTTCTTTATTATTATACAAATATACTTTTTATTTTATTGTTATAATTATTTTAAACTGTTCTCTCAAAGACGGGAACTCAAACTACTTGAATTCATACAGAAAATATTTTAGTAAATATTTCCATAAAAGGCAAATAAAAAATATACTAGAGGCCTGAGATCCATCGTTTCTACCCGCCTCCTGTGAAGTGTCAGAGTTTGAGGCGAACACGAACATGTCAGTGTTAATTTTCTGTGTAACAGGTGCACAAAGAAGCTGCGGGTCACATGGTGGAAACACACGTGTGTCAAGATGACTTGATTTCTGTGAATTTGAACAAGGCGACAGTGCGCGTGTTTGGGTTAGGATGCAGTTCATTCTCGTTTGAAGTCAGTTTGCATTTATGTGAAAGTTTCACTTGTATGACAGTTTCTTGAGTGAAACTTAATCGGAATCAAACATCTCAGAACTTGGTGAAAAAGCAGTGTTGCACCTCTGTGTCCTCCTCCCTCTGACGGAACTGAGCGGACACGCAGAGCGGATGCCGGGAGCGCACAGACAGTTTGCGGTGAGCTGCCTGTCTCTCCTTCAGTGAGCCTGCGCGGCTCGATGTGTGACAGCAGGAGGAGGAAGACAGACAGACAGTTACCGTGGCTGAAGGTTGGCCTGGATGGCACCGAGTTCCCGCTGAGCGCGAGCTGCAGAGCACCCAAGTGGCGAGTCGGGGGGTGGGTGGGGGGGTTGTGCGTGAAACTTAAGGAAGTCGGGATGGACGGGAAAGGCACCCTGAAGATGTTCACCAGGAAGAAACGGGAACTGATAAAGACGCCATCCATCTCGAAGAAGAGCCGAGCAGGAAGCCCCGGGCCGCAGAGCAGCGCATCTGCTGTGAGTAGCGCATCACTTCTGGTTTCTGCCACTCACTGTACTGGTCTGTGTGTACGTGTACGTGTCTGTGTGTACGTGTGTGTGTGTGTGAGGTGTCAGATAACCTTCAGCTGCAGAGGACAGGGCAACAGAGAGGGGCTCCAGACCATTGGTGATAGTGTGTGTTTGTGTGTGGAAAGTCTACTTACACCAGATATAAATATTCTGGCAAAGTTTTGTGTGAGCGTCAACGGGACTGGTGTGATCAGGGTGGGAAACTGAAGTCCGTCTGTGTGGAACTGCTTGAAAACATTCATTATGGTGCAGTTTCACTGGGTTACATCTTCAGATAATTGTACGTGTGTGAACCTGACTGCATACTGACTCATATCTGGCTCATAGGAAGTATATTTGCTGTGGGGTTTTCACCCATAAAGCAGCTTCAGGCTGCAGTGTGTGTGTGTGTGTGTGTGTGTGTGTGTATATGCTCTTGCGAGATCAGTTTCAAAAGCTGAGTTGTGTTCTAGTTAGAATGGAGGCAAAGCTCTAGGGGGAAGGAGCATGCTGAAACGTGGTGGCAAAAGTAGCTACAACCCTTACTCTACGAGTCAGAGAGTTAAAAAAGCCGAGCAGAAAGGCAAGAACAGGCTGGACATACTGCCCAACAAGCACAACGTATGGCTTAAACAGGTATGTGTGAGTATTTGGTTGTCATCTTGTGCGTCCAAAACAAATGGCAAATCTCAGGGATGCTTTTCTGTTTTGTGTCGGAAAGTATTTGCGCTCTGTAGTGGAGTGGGTAGTGTTCTTTGGCTTTGTTCGAGATGCACTTGTCAGGCCCAAAGAGCGTGAGGCATTAACCGCAGTCTGAATCTATCTTAACTGGGAAATGACATGTAGACCAGGCTTAAAAAAACCTTTTCTGTGCATATTGTTGGCAAGGTTATTTCCACTTCTGAAAATGTCACTGTTCTGTTATTCCAAACAGTAAATTACATTTCTGTTACTCTCCGCTCTGCTCAGTTTGCCACACCCAACAACTGCTTGGAGGCAGGAAGTGTTACACAACGTAACACAGGATCTTACGAAAGTCTTCATATGTATGTTTACCAACAACAGCACTGCTTATGTTCAAGGCCGCAAAAGCTGAGAGGTGTCGCGCTGATGTGTCCATGCCTGTCAGGATGTGCTGGAAAGCGCAAATCATGTGACCATCTTGACCTTTTTCGCTCTTCCTGTCCTCTCTCAGCTGTCCATCCTCCAGGAGCAGCCTCGGAAAGATGCGGGTGACATCACCCTCTCCTCTTCCCCTTCCTCTTCTTCCTCCTCTTCAACGCTCACTCCAACCTCTGCCGGGCTCCAGGACCTGTCCGTGTCCTGCCCGGGTACCCCGAGCACCCAGCACAGCAAGATGCCGGCGATGGGCTGCCCGTCTCCCGTGTCCACCCTGAAGAGACCGACCGCCCTGAGCAGACACGCCAGCGCTGCAGGTCTGGTTCAAACGCATCAGTACCTGTTAATGACATGTCTGCTGTGTACGACCCATTGCTTCCAAAATCTGGCCTGACAAGTATAAAATATCACTGTCTACTTACTTGAAATTTAGCAAGCAAATTTTTATTCGTTTTTAAATTCACTTCACCGTAAATGAAAAGTTTGAGAGTGTAAAGATGGATTTTGAAGCCTTGAGACAGTAGCCTGAAGGAGAGCTGCAACTAACCAGTGTTTTCACTATTGATTGATTATTCTTTTTCAATAATTATTATTATTTTTTGTCTCCAAAATGTCAAAACACGGTGAAAAATGCTCATCCCACTTTCTCAGAGCCCAAAGTGACATCTTTAGGTTGCTTGATTTATCCAACCAGCAATCTGAAACTCAAACATATTCACTTTACAGAAATGTAAAACAGCAAAAAGCAGAAAATCCTCACATGTAAAGAAATAGTTTGGCATTTTGGGAAATACTCCTAATCCCTTTTTGAAGAGTTAGATGAGAGGGTTGATACCACTCTCATGCCTGCAGCTAGTTAGCTTAGCTTAGCATAAAGACTGGAAACAAGGGGAAACAGCTAGCCTTGCGCTGTCTAAAGGGAACAAAATCACAGCTAAAGCTCACTGATTAACACTTCATACTTGATTGTTTAATCCATACAAATACCTGAGTGTAAAAAGGCGTATTTGCTGTTTTATGGGGAAACCACTTGAGACTCCACAAAGTTGCAAGTCTTTGTGCTAAGATAACTGACCCTCTTTAAGAACGAGAAAGTTTCAAATAGTTTTCCAAATAAATGATCAACCTTGTTGTGGATTAATTCTCTGTCAGTTCAGTGTTTGTCCGGAAGCTCAGTGATGTTCTCTGTGTCTCCTCAGGGTTCCCACTCCAGTCATGGGTGTTCACTAAAGGCCAAGGGAAAGGGGCCTTGACCCCAACTCCTCCGTCTGAAAGTCCAGAGAGCACGGCCATTGAAGTCGAGGACATCCCCGCCCTGCTGAGGGACGTGGCGCGCTTCGCTGAGGCTGTGGAGAAACTGAAGGATGTGGTGCTGGCTGAAGGTAAGATCCACAAATCCACCTACAGAGACCTATCCCCTGATGTCCCAATATTTCCCGTCTCACCTGTCCCACCTGAGTTTGGCTCCTGTCTCTTGTGAGCTGCTACATTTTGTTTCCATGTGTTCTTCGTTAAACTTCACACTCTGGGAATGAATCCTGATCCTCCTTTGCTGAAATGAATAATGCTTGTTTTCACCACTGTTGAGACAAAACACAGTTCTCCATTGTGTGTAACCACTTATAATTTTCAGCTTGTGGGTTGTGACAGTATGTCTCTTATTTAGTTTCTCTTTGATGTCATTGGTTTGTCTTGTTATCATGCGAATTTGTCAGTTTGAAGACAGAACAATAGTGTTTAGTCTCCCTCTTCCCCTTTTGCATTACACACCCCAGTCTGTTTCGACAGGGGGTTACACTGCGAGGACTGAGGAATACACAAAAGGTTTCTGTCAGTCTTACATCAGTCCTGTTTACTGACTCGCGTAATTTGGGGGGTGGGGGGTTGGGAGAGTTGGGGGTAGTGGCAGAACAACCCTGCACAAGCAAGCTGACAAGTGACTGAGCTTCCTCTCTCCAAATGAAGGGTTGTATTTCCGCTGCACCCACAGAGTCGACCGCACTCTTGTCTCCAGCAGGAAGCCAGCGTCTTGTTTACTGCAGCCTCGTACACACTCCTCTTCCCCTCCTCTGTGATGAAGGGAGGCTGAAAACAGCAAAACACCTTTACTTTCCTCATGGAGTGACTGCCATTTCCTTTAGACTTGATTCCACCTGCCGAACAAAGAAACTCGAAGAGAACCAGTGTTTTAGAATAAAGTTTCAAGTCATGAAGGTCTGGCATCAGGTTAGTCTCTCGAGTCAGAAAAGGGGCCGATCTCTGTGGTTCAGAAGAGACAGAAAGAGATTTGTTTTCGTGTCGTTCTGTCGGCTATTATCTGGGTCCGTTCTGTCATGTCCTCCACCCAGAGTGAGCTTTCTAAACAGGAAGCCATGATGGATAGCCTCTGACAGAGCAGCCGCGTCCACACTTCCTACTCTGATAGGTAGCCTGCATCGCCGTGACCCAATGCCTCCTCTACTTAATCAGCAGCACAATCAGACTTTGGGCCTTGTTTCCTCCCTACTGCGATCCAGAGAGCTGGTACTATATTTCCCAAGCCTCAAAATGTTTTTGTAAAGCTGAGAGTAAAGTGAGGGTAAGGTGATTTGTTTTATCCGCCACAGAAGGCAGATGTAGCACAGCACCAGAATTGGTCTCTAATCTTGCAAAACAATAGAAAAGACCACATCCTCTGAGGCACAATGTTCAGGTCAGTCTGTTCTTGTTGTCAGCTGCTGCTCAGACACTCTCACACACATTTTCAGACAGACTGTGGGAGGATGGAGGGACCGGCTGCCCTCTGGCCTCCTCTGTGAGCAAGTTGCTTCCATTAGAAAAAGAGTGAACAGAGGAGGTGGTAACATTCAACAGCGTAAGTTGACAAAATGTGTGTGTGATTGTGTTGGGGAGGAGGAAGTGAGGATGCAGGCTGTAGGTGTGTCACTAGTGACATCAAAGCTGAAGAGCTGACACCGTGTCTGGACTTGACCTGTCTGACACAGATTTGTTTGTCACTGTCCTCAGACTGTCTGTCTCTGTCGTCTCCACTAACAGCAACAGCAGAAACACCGACTTGCAGACACTTAAAGGAATAGTTGGACATTTTGGGAAATCTGTTTATTGGCTTTCGGGCAGAGAGTTAGATGAGAAGATCAGTACCACACTCATATGTGTGATAGTGATATATGTGAAGCTAGAGCCAGTAGCCTCTTAGGTTAGCTTAGCATAAAGACTAGAGACGAGGGGAAACAGCTAGCCTGGCTCTAAATCTCACTAATTAACACATTACATCTTGTTTGTGTTATATGTTCAACGGTGGAAGTATAGAGTGTGTTGTGTGCTGCACTATTTCTTGGACCGGAGCAATAACCTCCTGGATTTTCCACTGGTCTCTTGGCAAGAAAGCAAAAAGTGTTATTTTTTTCCCAAAATGTTGAACAATTTCTTTAAAACACATCCAAAATTCGCTGCAGTTAACATTTTATTTTTGGTCCAACATTACCACCAGGTTGTGATGCATTTGCTAACATGGACTTAACTCTTCATTATTGATGCATTCAAGGACACTGACCTCTGAGAATCATGAATTGTTACCAAACTTCAACCTTCATTAAACTCAAATTTTTGATGCCAGGGCCCTGAAGCCACCACAAAGGAGTGATTTCACAATGGCAATTATGATGTAACTTTGACACAAAAAAATATTCAAAAAAACCCACAGGTCTTAGTATCCTCCTCTTGCTCCCATCCAGGTAAGGAGAATCAGCGACCCGTGGCCCATGAGTGTTTGGGCGAGGTCCTGCGGGTGCTGCGTCAGGTCATTAACACCTACCCTCTGCTAAACACCGTGGAGATCCTCACTGCTGCCGGAAAGCTCATATCCAAGGTCAAAGGTCAGTCGTTGCAGGGAAACCTTAACCTAAACCTTGTTTTGTTTTTTTGTATGCTACGGAAACATTGACATCATAGAATTTAATCATCCCCAGTTTATATTGATCGTGGAACATCCTTAGGTAATATACTGTAGTCACAGTAGTGTGATGTAACTGATGTTAGCGTATTGTCTATTCCTAACCACAACTGAAACTTGAACACATGCACCATTGTGATTTTTTAGGTTTCCACTATGAGGCTTGTAACGAGGCAGATAAAAAGGACTTTGAGAAGGCGATTGAAACCATTGCAGTTGCTTTTAGCAGCAAGTAAGTATCTGGTACACCTTTTCATAGTACGTCTTATTGTGAAATTACAACCGTGTCATCTTATGATAGCCCTCTGGTAATTACTACTACAGGTAATACAACTAAAGGCTGTATTAGAGTGCCAGTAATGTAAGTGCCAGTGAAGCCACAGTAGTGTCCAAATAGGTTTTACAGTGCATTCAGAATGTATTCAGACCCTTTCACTTTTTTCACATTATGTTGCAGCTTAAGGCCAAAATCAGTAATTTTTTCTACCATCAATAATCAATAATGATGAAGCCAAAAAAGAATTTTTAGAAATTTGTGTAAATGTATTAAAAAAAGAAAAACTGAAATATGGCTGACGTAAGTATTCAGACCCTTTGATGTGACACTTGAAATTTAGCTTAAGTGCCTCCCCATTTCTCTTCATCATCTTTGAGATGATAAATCTTAAAAGGAAGATGCTTGGAACAACCAGGACTCTTCCTAGAACAAATCAGGGAGAAGGGCCTTGGTAAGAGAGGTGACCAAGAACCCGATGGCCACTCTGGCTGAGCTCCAGAGATCCTGTGTGTGTGTGTGTGTGTGTGTGTGTGTGTGTGTGGTGGGGGGGCCCTCAGTACTGGATGTCTGGATGAAACCAGGCAACGCTCATCACCTGCCCAATACCCTCCCAATAGTGATGCATGATGGTGGCAGCATCATGGTTGAGGTGAAAGCTGAGCGGAGCAAAGTACAGAGATATTCTGAATGAAAACCTGGGCCAGAGCACTCAGGACCTCAGACTGGGCCCAAGGTTCACCTTCCAACAGCTCAGTGACCCTAGGCACACACACAATCGAACATCTCTGGAGAAACCTGAAATGGCTGTCCAGCGACGGTCCCCATCCAACCTGACAGAGCTTGAGAGAATCTGCACGGAAGAATGTCAGAAAATACCTAAAAACCCCAAATCCAGATGTGCAAAGCCTCTCTAGTTATACGCAAGAAGAACTGAGGCTGTAATTGCTGTAAAAGGTGCTTCAGCTAAGTACTGAGTAAAGGGTCTGAGTTCTTATGTCTGTGATTATTTAATAAATAGGCACAAATTTCTAAAATTCAGTTTTTGCTTTTTCATTATGGGGTATTGAGTGTAGATTGATGAGAGAAAACATTTAATTTAACATTTAAACAGTTTTACCAAAAGGCCTCAACGTAACAAAGATGTGAGAAAAGTGAAGGAGTCTGAATACCTTGTGAATGCATTGTACCTTTTTTTACAGACAGGATCAGTAGTACTATTTGTGTGTGTGTGTTAATGCGTACAAAATTGTCTATTGTTGGGAATGAGAGAGAAGTGCAGTGATGGTGACACATTTGCATGAGGCAGAGCTGAAAACAGGAAGTGGTTTTTCTCCTGCTGTATGACACAAAACCAAAAGTCGAAAATGTTGTTCACTACCTGACTGCTAAATTAACAGATTGCCACAGACTGATGATAAATCATGTTGACTTGATTTCAGTCACTTGAGACAAGTTACGATCAAATAGATAATTAAATATGGCAACTATGAAATGATCATAGTCAGTATTTCCAAGATTAATGTTTTGACCTGACCATTTTAGATCTTTAAAAAATAATATCTTGATAGTTAAAAGGAAAAACTTTCAGTAGAGGAATGTATTTCTTATCTGTGCAATTGAAGTATATTGCACCAACAGTTAATCACATGTTTGTCGGTGGCATTTTGGGGTTGAGATATCGGTCACAGGAGGAAGTGAGCTGGCAGAGACAGTTGAAATCTGCCTGACAAGTCTGTTTCCTCATTCTCTCCTCTGTTTTACTCCTTTTCTGTCATGAACTGAAAAACACCAAGATGGAGACAGCATTTTTTTTTTTTTTTTTTTTTTTCTTTAACCTCCTACTTAGCCGACAAGCCAACTTAAAGACAAGATGTCACAAGTATTTTACTTGAGTGGATGAGGAATTTGTAGAAAAATAAAGTAATTACAACTAAGTGATTTGATATACAGTGTGAAGAGAGAAACATTAACCTGGTAGACAAGAGTAACTCGGATAAAAGTCATTTTGATCACTTCCTGTCTCCAGTGTACCTGTCGGTTTCCTATAGCAGCAGGGGCATCTCCTCCTCCACTTTCAAAATCAGCTCTACTGTTGGTCTTTTTTTTTTCAGATTCATATCACATGTGTAGTATGTGTGCTGAAGTGTCTGTTGTTTTCTCCTCAGTGTGTCTGAACTGCTGATGGGAGAGGTGGACAGCAGCACACTGCTCTCGCTGCTCCCCACAGAGAAAAGCAGGGTGGGTGAAGGTTTATCGCTAAGCAACCGATCTGCTAGTTTTAAAAAACACTAGGGTTATCTCAAAACAGTTTAACAGAGTTCATACACCTCAATTAAATATAACTCTGCACTCCCAACTTTCCACTGGGTGTAGAAAAAAAAAAAAGTCCCTGAGTTGATGATGAGCCTTGATCCGTGTTTGTCAGTAATGAGTCATTTCTGTGCTGTGTAGTCAATGGAGAACTTGTACACCGCGACAGGCCAGGGAGCAGATGGAGGCCAGTTCAGGAGCGACCTGCAGGACATGGGTAGGCAGTCACTCACTCCTCCACTCACACTCCAGCTGTTGTTGACTCTTTCTAGACTCTTTTAGTGATACTTGTGCACATCTGTCCTTCCATTCACTCTCATTTTGTCTTGTGAAAATGCAACTTTTTGATATATTTAGATGTTTGTGTAGCCTACTCTCCGTCATCCATTTACATCAGAAAGTAGTGAAGCAACCTTTTATTCAGACCATGAAAGCTTTTATGTTTGTTGTTTCACTGGATGTCTGGTAGGTCTCCCCCTGCTGATATAAACACTGTGGTGCACTGATGTGTTTCACAATATGAGTGACAGCTGATGAGTTAAACAGCTGCAGAAACGCAGACTTAAGTGCATAAAATCAAAGGAAAATAAAGACCTGACAGTACAGAGCAAAGTGAGTGTAGACAGCCAAAACACAGAAGTGACAAACACACAGTTAATACCAAAATAAAACCTAAACAAAACACCAGATGTTGGAGGTAATCACCTTAGTGACAGATCCCCACATTCTATCTGCCTACCACAAATCACAGTCAACAAAAACAGTTTGTTGTCATAGTAACAATTTGTGCAGTGACCCGTGTTTGTGCGTCGATGTGTAGGCCGAGTCGAGGAAGTGGATGTGATCTTGCAGCGCAGCGAGGGAGGGGTGGACTCGGCTCTGCTCTACGCCAAAACCATTTCAAAGTACATGAAGGACCTGATCAGCTACGTGGAGAAGAGAATTTCACTGGGTGAGTGGTCGACCCAGATAACATCAGATTAACCAATAAGTTGATGAAGTAAATAAATAAATCTTTTTATATATATTTATTTAATTAATTCATGGCAATGTTATTTGACCGTCAGAAAAATACGCAATTCTAAGACAAAATTGGCGACTTGTGATTTGTATCTGTCATAAATCATTAATCATTATTAGGAAATATCAGTCGGTTGTTGCAGCATTTGTGACTGTACACTTGCAACTTGTCCCATCCATTATGTTGTCATATGACTGTTCTTCTATTTTACCAGAGACTGAGTTTTCCAAAGGCCTCCAGAGATTATACCAATCCTGCAAACACAGCATAACACATGTAAACCTCTCTTTATTTTTTAACCACCATCTTTCACTGATTATAGATGTTAGAAACTAGAATAAACATCATGACATTTTGTCCATGTGTATCAAACCTTTTCTTTCTGTGTTGTGCTCGCTCCCTCCAGCCCCACATGCCCCTCTTCTCCATCTACTCTCTGGCTCTGGAGCAGGACCAGGAGCAGAGCGTGGGGCTGCAGCAGGCCAATACCACCCTGCACAGCCAGACCTTCATCCAGGTAAAGGATTAGTGTTGTAACATGAACTCTTAACAACTTCTGTGAGTTCTGTTAATTCTTAAATCACCCTGCAGCAGACACTCATAACCTGCTGCTGCTGTTAATACTGGACTGGTCTTGGTCCCGTACACATTGTGCTGATCTGTCAATGTGTTTTTCCCTGCAGCCTCTGATGCAGCGGAAACAGGAGCATGAAAAGAGACGGAAGGAGATCAAGGAACACTGGATTCGAGCGAAGAGAAAACTGGTACAATCTCGTATTCTACATATATTTGAGCACATTTCTTTTCATCTCGAAGTAACAGTAAGACAATGATGCGTCTTTGTTTAGTTGGAGTGTGAGGTCAACCTGCGAAAGGCCAAGCAAGTCTACATGGTCCGCTGTGAGGAGTACGACAAGGCCAAAACCGCAGCCTGCCGAGCCGAGGAGGAGGGAGGAGGATCTACAGCGAAGTCCTTGGAGAAGAAGAAAAGATTAGAGGAAGAGGCTCGCAATAAGGTATTTATCAGCAACTTCATTTTATCTGTAGTTTCTGAGCTTTATCGCTGCGGGAATAACCATGAAAATGATCGTTTAAAAACCAGACGTTCTTTTTCAATGAAACATGATCACGCAGAATTTACGTGATGCTTATCTGGCAGTCACACTCTCACACATCGACACTTTATCTGTGCCCCAATCTGACAGATTAAAAAAAAACAAAACAGAACAACAGAAGTACATTGAAAGTCTAAAAAAAATGTGTATATGTGTGTGTGTGTGTGTGTGTGTGTGTGTGTGTGTGTGTGTGTGCGTGTGCGTGTGCGCAGTCAGACGAAGCGGAGGCCACCTACCGGACATGTATAGCAGATGCCACAACTCAGCAGCTGGAGCTGGAGCACACCAAGGTCACAGTGCTGAGACAGCTGCAGGACGTCATCAAACAGAGCGACCAGACCCTGCGCTCGGTCAGAAGAATCACAAGTAAACATCAGAATACTGTCAACGGATTAACTCTTGTATAACTTGCATTTGTCTGCTCCTCCTCCAGGCCACCATCTCCTACTACCAGCTCATGCACATGCAGACGGTAGCCCTGCCCGTCCACTACCAGACTCTGTGTGAGAGCAGCAAGCTGTATGACCCAGGCCAGCAGTACGCCGCCCACGTGCGAGACCTGCAGCTACCCGAGCAGCCGAATGTTCAATACACATTTGAGACCTACTCCCCCTCCAGCTCGTCGTCACAGTAAGAGCTTCAGATGAAACCTTAAAGGAAAAGTTTTGACATTTAAATGCTTATTTGCCTTTTTTTTGTTTGTTTGTTTGTTTGTTTGTTTGTTTTGCTGAGAATTAACTCTTGACCCTCGTCAGAGTTAAGTTTATTTTCCAGGATGTTGAACCATCCTTTTACATAATAATACTTTGAATATGTTTACCATATAATTCCACATTGTTGCAGGCAGGGCCACAGACCAAGGAATGACAGTTTCAACACAGAGCAGTCGAGCCACACAGACAGTCCTGCCGCCAGCGTGGAGACAGCAGCTGCTGACAGTAGAGACACAGAGGCCCACCGCAAGAGTAAGTGACGCCTGCTGCTGCTGTAGGTGACACTGTGCTGTCATATTTGTAAAGATGAACCATTTTCATTACTATTTGTTATTGAGACATCCAACCTGTAGTTCATGTGTTCATTTCACTGCATATTTCACATGTTCATTTTTATCATAGTGGGACAAAATAGACCAGAAAATGTCTGCAAGGATTGTATGTAGTCATGTTAACACATTACTCTTATACTGACTTCCATGTACTGTAGGGCAGGGCCACAAGTCATGGGGTTCAACAGTGAGCGATGACAGCGTTGGAGGAGATGGAGGCCTGGAGTCTCCCACTGCCAGCACGAGTAAGCAAGAACTCAGATTCACAGTAACATACACCACAATACCTCATTTATACATAACGAAAAGGAAGAAACTAAATGGCTTTTTTTCTCAGCTGAATTCAAAGACACAGAGTATGTCTGAGAAAATATATTTAATGTATATTTATTGCAGGTGACATCAGTAAAATGGCTCGGACATCATCCACTGGGACGATGTCGTCCAATGAGGATGCAGATGAGAAAGACGGGAATGTAGCTTCTTTTGAATCTCCAAGTAAGATTTTCAGATTGTCTTGTGTTTTGACTCTGCTGTTTGATTACTTGGCTAAACTGAGAGGAAACGTGGGCCGTGAGTTTCCCTGGAGTGTGTATGATGGGGCTCTTTCTCTCCAGACATTAACGGCATGGATCCTGACGTGGTGGTGTCCACCAGACCCTTCCGTAACATCGGCCTCTCCAAAGCCGCCCAGACCCATCGAATGAGGAAGCTGCGGACTCCGGCCAAGTGCCGCGAGTGTGACAGCTACGTTTACTTCCAGGGGGCCGAGTGCGAGGAGGTGAGTTCTTCACCATGTCTCCAAACATCCAACCCGCGGAGAGAAATCTGCGTCCTGAGAAGCACTTCAGGATTTGAATGTAGAGATCTTGAAGTATCCCATTAAAGTTTTAGACAAGGTTCATCAAGCCTTTCTGTTCGTCTTCTGTCCACACAGTGTTTTCTCGCATGTCACAAGCGCTGTCTGGAGACTCTGGCCATCCAGTGTGGCCATAAGAAGCTGCAGGGCCGTCTGCAGCTGTTCGGCAGGGAGTTCTCTCAGGTTGCCAGCTGTGCCAGTGACGGCATCCCCTTCATCATCACCAAGTGCATTTCTGAGATAGAAAGACGGGCACTCAAGATGAAGGTGAGAACATGTATTTGTTCTGTCTGTTGAAGTGCTGATTGTGTGTGAAGTCTAAACTGTCGGGTATAAACCACTGCTTCCTCCTCGCAGGGCATCTACAGGGTGAACGGGGTGAAGACTCGTGTTGAGAAACTGTGTCAGGCCTTTGAGAATGGGAAGGAGCTGGTCGAGCTGTCCCAGTGTTCCCCACACGACATCAGCAACGTTCTCAAGCTTTACCTCAGACAGGTGCATATGCAGCCATATTTTCAAGTGACTTGTGGCAGCAGTTAATGGGGAAAATGTAGCGATATCCTCTACTTGTTTTTAGGACTGTCAAAAGATCTTTCAGTCTTTATCTATATGTCCAGATTTTGGATTGATTTTGTTTTTCTTTTCAGTTTACCAATTAAAATTCTATCATCATATCTCTCACTGTCGGAAACATGGATACATGGATTATTTTATTACAATTATAAATGCCTATGAACACATAGATACACACACACAAACATTCTGTATACATAATCATACATAGTCACATACAGAGTATATGCACATACATGTACTCATATTCACACATGTACATTCACTTAATTTGTGAAGTTATGAATCCCTCTTTTATTAATCTGGTTTAATATAAAGTAATGATTTGCCCTAAAGTTATTTGTAAGACTCTCCTGCTCCACTTACATGAAACGTTGTGTTCATGCTCAGTTCAACCCCTCCAACACAATTTCCTTTATCCTTCACCGCCAGCTGCCAGAGCCCATCATGCTGTTCCGCCTGTACAACAACCTGATGGGTTTGGCCAAAGAGAGTCTGCAGAGTGAAGGAGATGCACCAGAGCGAGGGGTGGCAGAGTCGGGCAGCGTTAACCCAGCAGTGGGCAGGGGGCCCGAGCTGGTGGATCTGGGTCCTGACACTGATCCAGATGTCCTAGTGCTGGTGGACAAGCTGAAGGAGCTTCTGAAGGTGCTGCCCAAGGCTAACATCGCTACACTGCGCTACATCATCCGCCACCTCCGAAGGTCTGTCATTATGCCACTTGCGGCGGAACAACAAGAAAATGAAAAACCTGATTCTGTTCAATTTGATCATCCTGATCATTCCTCTGACTTCCTCCCTTCCAGGATCGCAGAGCTGGAGGAGGATAACAAGATGAGTCCCAGTAACTTGGGGATTGTGTTTGGGCCCTCCCTGATGCGTCCCCGTCCGACCGGGGCCACGATCTCCCTGTCCTCTCTGGTTGATTACCCCCACCAGGCCCGCATCGTGGAGACCCTCATAGTCTTCTATTCATCCATCTTCCAGTCCAAAACTTCTCAGACCCACAAAACCTCCCGGTCTGCTTCCACCTCCACTGAGCAGGTAGGTAGGGCTGTGTGTGCACTGAAGGTGGCTGTTCATCTCCTCATTTATCAAGTGTTTTTAACATTTAATCATACAAGCAGTAACTTCATGAGCTAAATTTTTGGACACTAAAATACACTGCCGAGCCTGTTTCTTTGAAACTTTGAACTTTTAAAGGCAATTAACGATAGGTGATGAATGTGACTTGTTTCATGGTCCTGTAGATTCATGTCAATACGGCTGATGTTGGCTCATAATGCATCTGCGACATTATTTTTCAGGTTGTCTGTTCACTTGGACTGAAGGATGAACTGATTTAGAATTTGGTGGTCAAAGGTCACTGTGACCTCACTGACCTTACTAACACACCTATTAGTTGTCCTAATGTTAGAACTAATATTCTGCTTCTAAACACTCATTTTAAAAAGGGGTTGCTAGGTAATAGCTTTAGATACAAAGATTTCTGCCATTTAATGTGAAGATTTAGGCAGAAGAATAAGACTCATGAGGCGGTCAGTAGTGCTTATTTGGCAAATGTCAGTCTGTAATGGAGAAAAGGCAACCTGTTATGTGTCATACGGTCAAAAGGTAAATAATTTATGAGCATGAACAAAACCTGGCGTAAAGGTAAGAAGCAAAAAAATGGAAGTACTGAAATGTCAGAAGATGCATTTCCTCATCCAGAGTTATGGCCTATAGTCTTGTTTTATTTGGAGCCTCCACTTCCCCCCTGATTTGCATTTAATACCCTTGCCAAACGAAAGAACATTTGACCTTGTTTTGATGATAAAGATCTCTTCATTTCCTCCCCCTCCTGGTTCAGGGTACTAATGCAGATGACAAGATGGGGAGCTCTGCCGCTGAAGAGGAGAGTGGAGGCGGAGAGGAGCAGAGTAAACCAGACTCTGACAAGATGGAGGAGGGATGTGGTAAGTTTTCATAAAGACTAGGTATGCATAATACTGTTGTGAAATGAAATAACTTTGCCCTGTAGCTCCCGGTGAGTTACAGGTAGGTAGGTCAAGTAGGTGGAATACACATTCATCAATTCAAAACATGTAAAAATCTCTCAAATTTGGCCTCAGGGTTTAACAGCAGTCACTAGCCTCTTTATCTCATTCAGGAAGTTCTCTGGGCTCCAGTGAGCTGCTCCCCGACTCTGACTCAGAGGTTGATGACAGCAGCCAGAGGACTGCACACTCCCACAGCCTGATGAAGCAGGAGAGCGAGGTGAGCATAGATGACGACCAGCTGAGCTACAGGGACAGCCTAGACCTGTCCAGCCAGTCTGCAACCCACACCGACCCAGAACAAGACGCGGATCAGGACCAAGACAACCCGGAGGGAGGAGAGCCCCCCGCTCTGCCAGACAGCGGGCCCCCTGATGACGACACGGGGGCGGAGCAGAACCTGAGCGTCTCTCTGGCCGAGCTCAATGTTAACCAGTCCAACAACAACTACCCATGTTCCCCTACTTTAAGCCTATCAGGTCTTCCACTGGCACCTCTGGGTGGAAAGAAATTACCCCTGACGAGGAACAGGGACAGTGAGCCTGAGTTTGTCTGAAATCATCATTATATTATCACTGGAATTTATTACAGGAATCTGGTTTTTATGCATTAAAATCCAGGGCAACCTGCAACTGAGATGCTTATCTCGTTTATCCAAATCAAGTTTTTATGTTTTTTTTATCCTGTGTAGATGTTTGCAGCCGCATTGATCTATCCTGGCAGTGAAACCTCTGCATGCTTACTGCTGTTTGATGCAACTACTCCTGTCATTGCTAGAGGTTTGATATGAATGAAATGTCAATTTCCATTTGAAAGTGTCTTTAATTTTTGCTCTTACAGTCCTGAGGAAATGTAGGAAGCAATCACGTCACTGAATAAAATCTCTTTTGAGTGCTGCTGGTTTCATTTCAGCACTAGAATTTAAAAAATTAATTTAGCAGTTTCTTATAAATGTTGCCTGTAGTGCCTTTATAAGTGTTCGATCTATTTTAATAAAAATGCTTATATTTTAAAATTGTGTCTTGTTATTCCATTTATAATCTTGTTTTGATATGTTTGTATTTTACAGGCCAGAGTAAATACAAATGGGGAACAGTTACCTTAACCTGGGTAGGAACAAAATACCCAGAGTGAGTTTAGTTACTACCAATGGCGGCAAATCTCAGTGACAGAGCATTCGCTACCTGGTACTGGAGGAAGTTTACTATAGTGGGTGGTAACTTTGCATTTTGATGTGAGGGAGAACAGACAGCTAGCCCTAAAAGCGTCAGTCCACTGCAGGTGCAGCATGGCTTTCAAAAGGAAAAAAAAGGTAGGCATCTAAAATCATTATAGCCTGATGTAGAATTATGAAATTGGTTTTCCCTGCTTTAAGTTAAATATTTGTTTTTACATGCAAAGGGTAAGATTACATGAACTGAATCAATTCAAGGAAACAATATTTAGTTTCATTTTAAATCATTTATTTTACAAAATCCGTAACAACATCAAATATTTAAATCTAAACAAAACAAGTCACAAAGAAGGGTAATCCACTGATGGGTGATGAAAGATGTAACATCTTCAATTTCCTTCACTGGTCCTCCTAAATGTTGATCCAGAAGAACATCTAGAAATAAGACATTTTATTTTATTTAAAGCATCTACACACTCATACTACACACATTTGTTTTGGCTGATTAGATCTGTTGTCTTGACTAAGTTGGCACATACAGTGTTCGATGTATCTATGAGGCTAATATAACATGCTGAATTAGATGAATGACAGTCTCAACCTAAACACATTTATTCCATATAACATACCTGTCTGTCACTGGACCAGTCTGTATGTGATGTACCTCCCAGCTGTTTCACTAGGCCTGATGATCTTTACTACCTGGAAAGGTTTAGGAAAAACATCAGAATTTTAGGCTGGATTCTGGCACAATTCACACCGCTGACAGTTAAATGAGTTACGACTGAACACTTGGAACACAAAGTCTGTTCCAAATCTTCTTGTGTTTGCATACTTACACACATTTATTCAAATAGTTTGTGCTTATTAGAAAATTACATGCAAATACTGTCAGTGTGTCTTCAGTAGGAAGTATTGTTCATTATAACATGGGTCTTATTTTTTGTAGTTTGTGAAGTTTAGTTATTCATATCAGTGGTGCTAACACTGTATTCACCAAATTAATTACTGATATCTGGGAATACAAACAACATCACAACAGCAAAGAAAAAAAAAAACCTGTTAAGACCTGTTAACATCAGGTTTTTGTCTGCAACGGAAAAGGGTACAATCAGCATTCACACTCAGGTCAAATGACTCTGCAGTAGATGCAGGTAATTATCAGCTAGATGTCTTACCTGTCCTCTTTTTAAGCCAAAGTAGCGAGCCACAGGGTCCCCAGCCTGGATCCTCGGCAACTGACTCTCTTTTAATTTACTGAGGTAAAAATGTTAAGGAAGGACAACAAATGCATATTTTCTTTAAGACTATTATAAAGAGAGTAGATACAGCTCAATTGTGGTCTTTAGGCAGATCAACTGCAATTTTAAAGGATACTATCTTGCCAGAAGTTCAGTCACTTCCTCTTTTGTCATAACAATGTGCTCTGGAACAAGCTGAAAAACAAAAAAAGAAATGCATTAAACACAAAAATATCCCTGAGGCAGAGCCTGTAAGATCAATTTGAAATATACAGTCGATGGGATAATACAGTGGACTCATTAGTATGTTGTTTACCTCATGCTCTGTGATGTTAATAAGCAGCTCCTGCTGTAGGAACTGCTCCAATATGTATTTGGGCGCCATGTCAACTAGAGACTGTAAGGAGACATTTCCATATATGTTTTTGCCAAGAGACCAATATACACACAGAGAGAAGTCAAATAACCACAAGACAGTCACAGCGTAATCAAGAGACATGCCTTTTCCTTTTCATCAAAGAAATGTTTTGTTAGCATTACTTTCATCTGACATTTACCTGTTTGGCTGAGGGTGTCATGCCCATCTGAACAACAATGATGGCTCGTGTGATGTTCTCTTCCTGCATCCTTTGACAGTACATCTTAATCGTTTTGATTCCCACCTTGGGCTCCTCTGAAAAGTGAGGAAAAAAATCATTTCATATTATCACAAAGATGCATGTGTCGTACAAAATAAACATAATGTCAATGTTCAAAGTTTTAATCTCAAGAAAAGATAAGGTGCATTCGACTTAATGCAGCACTGACTTAAAGTGAGGCATGCTGGTTTGAAATTTTGCTGTTCTCTGGGTACCACCTCTGTGATGACAGCTTTGCCCTAATAAGCTTAAGGCTCCACTGACACATATGAAGTGTTCTATGTTTTCATGCTAATAACTTTAGATCCTTATCTCCTATTTATTTGATCATCTCCTTATGGCAGCTCATTTTTTACATAAGGACACAAATACTATAGTTTTCATTTCCAGCAAGAAAGCTGTAAAACAGTTTAGTTCAAGAGTTTGTTATTGTAAAAGAAGTAATACCCTGGCAAGTTAGATATTTAACCCTTAGATTTATTTTATTTTCACCCTCCTGATGAAATGGTGGCACTTGCTTTTTTAATTGTATTGACAGGAAATTATAAAAACTGTTATCTCTCACCTTCACTCATCATCCTATTTGTTTTCATAGAACATCACTTAGATTTAATTCCACGTGTCAAAAGACTGATGTAAACTTGTGTCTAGGCATAGTCTGACACATTGAGATTAACACTCATATTTAAAAAAAAAAACAAAAACAAAACAAAAAAAACAGAACAGCTGTGCATTCTGCATGATCGGCCATTGTTGTGAGTTTACTGATGCAACAGGAAGTAGAATGTGTCCAACATGGCGGCAGGCTGTTTATACACCACCCCTGCAGTCACTGGCAGTTCACGTCGACCATCAGGTCATTCGAAGTCGAAAACGAACCCAGCTATAGTATGCGGGGCTGGATGGTTGGATGTAAGGTGTTTAGTATCTAATATTGGATGTGCACATACCGGGAAAGAAAACAAACATCTGGTCGGTGGGGTCATCGTTGTGTGCCACCAGCACAGTGAGGTCTGTGCGTCTGGGCCGACCCTCGCTGGGTTTATCTCCAAACTGGCTCTTGAACTCGTCCAGTGTCTGGTCCAACTCGTCCTGTGTCACCAGGTAGCCCCGATCATGGCACAGCTGAGAGCACGGAGGTGAGGCCATAAAGTCAGTGAGTTTACGAGAAAAATCATATTAATTTAACAGTTAACTAGAACAAACTAGAGGATGTTGACCACTTCTAACAACGACTACAATGCGATGTATGTTTTCCATTATTTTCGTTTCAACAACTCTCAGGCTTCGCAGTCTGAGAGTAGTGCTTCCTGAAAAACTCAGCTGAAAGTCTCTCTAGCTGTACCTGTACAAACAAGTACTGTTCTTAAGCTCCCAGTAAACCACACTGACAAAATCTGTTATGTAAACACGCGGCTTGACGGAACACTGGCAACAAACTACCTCACACTGGCGATAAAACCAACAAAAACCCGAGTGTTCAACATGACAGAGCGGAGCTGCTGTTTAACTTGAGCTACACGCTAAGCTAGCAAGCTAAAACAAAAAACACTCAAACCCAACGGACCTGCATAATGGTTTTGCGAATCTTCCATAGCCTGTATGTTTCCTCTTCGTCATCCATTTCGTCTCAAATGTTCCTCTTTTTTAAAAAATTTATCTAAATATATATATTTTTTGTTTAATTTATCACTCTCCTCCTCCTCCAGCAGACGACGCGACGCACGTTTTCGTTTACCGACGCAGCTTGATGACGCGTACTGACTGGTAGTGCATGGGTGGAGTTTGACAAAAAGCTACATTAATAATAATAATGATTAATAATAATAATAATAATAATAATAATAATAATAATAATAATAATAGTAGTAGTAGTAGTAGTAGTCATAATAATGATAGCAATAGTAATTAATAACCTAGCAGCGTTGTATTGACTGGCTCTGATCCCCCACCGGCCACCGCTGTTTCACCGCAAACTGCAGGGCGGAGCTTGCAGCTACAATTTGGCTTTAGATCTGTATAAATGTGTCCTCTGTTCTAACAAAAATGAGACCATTACACGTGTTTTTCATATTTGGAGCTGTGGCAAGCAGCGGAGTACTCCTGGCGATGGTACTGTACTTTGTTTTATCCACAACGGTAACGTAACCCAAACGGTATTTGACGTGCGGTGCGGGTGTTATTTCCATTTTGCCTCACCGTGGTGGCTGTGATATGCTATTATCAACCATTCATTCATAGATTCTGCATATTAGCAATAATAAGCTAAGTGAATCTTTTTAGAGCACATATTTGACTGGTGAAGTTGTCGTCCGAATTGACATTTACTACAGTGTTACTGTTGCTCCTCCACGATTTGCATAACACGTCCTATTGTTGGCCTGTGGGAGCACGATTATAAACACTGCGTACACAGGCAGTGGACTTTAATTTGAGTCTGCGTATTATTTCACTGAATGTGTCGGGGTGGGAAGAGTAGTACAAAGGTACAAGCAGCACTCCTCTGTCTGGCTGCTGGTGTCAGCTGATCAAAGCTTATCAGTCTGAAACACAGCAACAGGCAGTGTCATTTTAAAGGTTTTATAACACAAGGCCATGTCAGCACGTTTCTGTTACAGCTGAAATTGTATTACTTCAGTGGGCAAAGTTTATTTCAGCTTATCAGTATCCTATAGCAACAAAATCTTACAAATCATCAGTGGTGGAAAAAGATATTCAGGTTTAGGTAATGGGTTATTAAAGTAAAAGAAATGACACCAAGCTATGAAGTAGGAGTAACATTTTAAGGTAGCAAAAGTATAAGTAAAAATTAGGCAAGTAACATTTTAATTAGTAGTATCTGTTAATATGTACAGAGCACTAAATAGCACAGTATTTTTCTCTGACATATGGTGGAATAAGATATGACAGCCTAAATTGAAAGTACTGAAATGCAGTATAAATATGTCATAGTTGTATATACATACAGTACTGGAGTAAATTTACTGAAAACTGTTTTAACAAATATACAATTACTTCCTGAACATAATGACTGCTCAGTCTTATCATGGAAAATCAAGATTGTACTGCCGATAGAAATCGCATCTTCCCTTTCTGACAATAGAACATCTAAAATATTTATTATTTTCCTTCTCAAAACATATTAAATTTGTCATTTTGATAACATATCTTTCTAGCTAGTTTAATGTCTGTTTTGAATCACACAGTAGGCTATCTGTAAGTATTTAATTAAATATATATATATTTTGGTTGGTACTCTGGTTTGTTATTATTTATCAATGCAAAGCCATAAAGCAATTTTTCTGTGCAGACTTGCCAGACTTGGCCTGAAACAAACTTTAGTACCAATTTTCTAACTGTTTAAAACACTAAAACACTTGTTTTCCCTCATTATGATTATTTGGTTGAATGAACAAATGTTTTTGGCTTTTGTCATAGTGAGACTTAGGGGGTTATGTGTGCTGCAAATCATGCCAATTCACTGATGTAACTTTTTGTTTTTCGTCCTGATATTAAGCACATTATGTAATGGGTTTATGCATTTCTTCAGACTGCTGCTCTTTGCCCTGGCCACATGGTGTTCAGCCTCCCATGGCCCAATTATTTGCTTTTATAAGGAGTCATCAGTCTTCATGAGTTTATGATAATGATGTGAACTGTGGACTACAGCACATGTGCATTTCTGATGTGGAACAGCAGAGAGGGACCTATTGGAGAATCGGAGCCTATCAATTCTGTTAATGATCACATGGTCCCTTTACATGAGGACACTGGACACTGAGCTTCCTCAGTAGTGGGATTGTGGTTCAACAGATAGGGTGTAGCTGAAGCCACTGAGTGGTTTAGAGATTTGATCGCTCTCTGCCTTCAGAGGACCTTACTGAAGGGCAGTCATGCGCCTGATAGGGTCCACTGTCCTTTTCTCTGTCCTGCTGCAGGCTTTGGTAAGAAAAAATGACATTTGGACTGAAACACTGGTTTATATTAAAGGACTGATGCTTTTTTTTGTAGAATGTCATATTTTCTTTTTAATTTAATTAATCAGTGGAATAAGATCTATCAAATGTTTGTAAACTGTGTAATGATTTGGAGCCAGAAAAAATTCAACCCCTTTTTAAGGATGAAATGCTTGTATTTCAGTGCTCCATCCTTGTTATCTAATACTCATGCAGCAGGATAGAAGTGTTAATGTTGGCTCATCTGTTATACAAACAAACCTGATTGTGCAGTTTGGAAATTAGCTCCTATCATTGAATTCTTTTTTTTACCCCTCTTTCTCCCAAACAGTCTGCCCCGACAGAGGACTGGCAGACGGCCACGTCTATTTATGACTTCTCAGCAACAGATATTGATGGCAATGAGGTTTCCCTAGACAGATACAGGTAAATCTATGCATGATATATCCTCTTCCTAAATTTTCTGCAGTGTCCCATTACATGTCCACCAGCACTAAAACATTATGGATGTGTATCTTTGTGTTTACAGGGGGGATGTTGTCATCATCACCAATGTTGCCTCTAAATGAGGTAAAACCCCAGTAAACTACTCTCAGTTTGCTCAGATGCACGCCAAGTACGCTGAGAGAGGTTTACGCATCCTTGCCTTCCCCTCAAACCAGTTTGGGAACCAGGTACACTGACACAGGAGTGTTTTGTTAAAGCAGCATGATAGGACAGACCTGAGAGTGCACTCTGAACATTTTACATTATGTAAATGTGACAAAACGAATTATAAAACAATCTACATGAGACTTTACAGTCTGCTCTTTACTGATAAAGATGGAACAGTTTATTCACAAAATACTTTATAACTATGATATTTATGGTGCATTCAAGGGAAAAGCAACATCATACTGTAGTAAATGAAATCAACAGCATTGATTTAGTAGTTTTCTCATTTTAGAATGACACTTGTTATATGTATAATTTGATATACTGTATATCTACTCTAAGGTCAAGGCCTGACTAGTACTCACGTCTTTTGTCATTTCGCACTTGTTTTACCTTGAAGGAGCCTGGCAATGAATCTCAGATCAAACAGTTTGCCCAGTCTTACAACGCTCAGTTTGACATGTTCAGTAAGATCAACGTGAACGGGGCCAATGCTCACCCTCTGTGGAAGTGGCTGAAGGAGCAGCCCAACGGGAGAGGCTTCCTTGGAAAGTAAGTGGCGAGCATGTGAATCGCTGAACACTGGGGCAAAGAGATGGGGTGGCACTTATCTTTATTATGAAACAAAGGCTTGTGTGGGCAAGTTTGTGTATTTACACTGTAATGACATGACACTTTGACACAAACTGGTAAATATGTTTTTGATTGAATGAAAGTGTTCACACACTGATTATTTTCTAACATATGATTTACTTTCATTCCTGCAGTAGTATCAAGTGGAACTTCACTAAGGTAAATATTAATTATCAGTAATTATATTCTATGTACAGTATTTAGAGTTGATAAAGCAAACAGTTCATTGTCTATGCTTGTAATCAGTGCTAATATGGTGCCCTCTTTCTACAGTATAGCATGTTTGATGGTATAGAATAATTATTTGAAGGAACCCATAAGCGATTTTCATGATTTCCTTTATTCTAAAAGTAAAATAGTTAATTTTGTTTATAATGATTTTCCTATTCTCTCCCTCTTCAGTTTTTAATCAATAGAGAGGGGCAGGTGGTGAAGAGATATGGACCCCTGGATGATCCAAGTGTATGTACAAGCATCTGCCATTACTACACTTAGTTAGATCTTGACTGTTGTCCACTTGTATATGCGTTTTCTTTTTTTCTTTTTTAGCTTTTTTTTTATCTGGCTAGATATAACATTGTGTACAGATGGAAATTCTGTTAAAGCAAAAATGATGAATTGAAAATTTAAATGAATAAACAAAACACCAAGATTAAGAGAAGGCATACTTTTGGATTTAAACTGGAGTTGAGAGAGAGAACTGCACGCTACTATAGCTGTAACTGCAAATACTGTGTGTTGTTACGTCTCTCCAGGTGTTATTAATACACTTTCATTACGACATGCAGTAGATGCCAACTTCTACTCTTGCTTTCTTTCCAGGTGGTGGAGAAGGACCTCCCCCAATACCTTTAAACTCCTAATGGATGACTGACACCTTGCTAGCTGATTCTCTACCCATTTTGTCTTTCCATCGTCCTTTCCCCTCTTTTCGTTGCCTCTCCGAGCATCAGTGGATATAGTTTGGATCCAACCCCAGACCAGTGACGGTCTGCTCAAAAACCCGCATGTCGGACAGGGCAGACCTGATGAAAATGGCGTGCAAACCTCCTGGGAGGATAACCAAGCTTATATTCATTAGTTTCTCTGGAGAAAAGGAGAGAGGATCCCTCAATCCATCATATACACTTGTAGTAGAGTAATCCATGGCATTGTTTTCTTAATAAAATGCACTAAGATTTTGTTTGAATTATGTTTTGTCTGGAATGTTTATTGTCAATCAGCTAACCATTGGGATTTTTCAAGTGGTGCTAGTGTTGCTCATAGAATAGTAGTAGATTTTCATGTGTACAACAGTTTTTCATGCATCTTTGTATGAAAGTGACTCAAGATCCATTTCTGTCAAACTGAAAAATGTGAGTGTGTGTTAGTCAGAAAATCCTTAACAAGTGAGCACGAGAGCTTAAAATGAAACTGGGATTTGTCCTGGGTAGAAAAATGTATAATATTAACATTCTTATCTATTGGACATTGGATTTGTAGTACAGCAACTCAATACTTAGATGACAGGCACAGATATGATTTGTAGATATCATTTTACCTGTGGGGAGGAAAATATTGTCACATGTCTAGTCTAGAGATGGATGTAGAAACAATGATTAATCCCTTAGACTATCCCACACAAACCTCGATCAGTGGTTCCCAACCTGGGGGTTAGGACCCTACAAAGAGTAACAACATTAATCTCAGGGATTGCCAGGTGAGTAAAAGGATGGGAAATAAAACAATATTCTGCTATGCAAAAATATTAATTTCACTTTTTTTTTTTAATTTTGTGATATTCTGAAGAGAAAATCACTTACTGAATTGCTCAAAATTCAAGGGATGTCATGGAGACATGATTTAGGATTAATGGATCACAAGCAAATACAAATAAAGTGGGGAACCCCTGGCCTTTATAAGACTATAAACAAATACAGATGCCTCTTGATAATTCCATGATAGTTTTTTTTTTTGTTGTTGCTTTGTGTCCACAAGGATGGTGGAAGCAAATAGCAGTATGATGTTTTAGTCAAACTGCTGTTATATCACACCAAGGATTGTATGATGAGTTCTTATAATACCATTGGTTCACGGCCTTTAAACATTGTCAGCAAACAAGCCAATATTAACAGTGTTATCAGCACTTTAATTAAGGGAAAACTACTTTTGCTTCTGAGCCAGAAACCTAATTAATTCAGCCAAAGGGAAGCATCCAATATAGTATAAGTAGATATGATATATTTAGGATGCTGGGGTTTAGTACCAATGGTGATTAGTGAGGGCGTAGGCCTGTCTGCTTTGCATGGGCACCAGTTAAATCAAGATCAAAATGCAAAGGGTGGAATGAGAACCTGAGGAAACGGTGTGGTTCTTAATAGAACCTATTTAATAAGATTGTTATTTTGATTGGGTTTTCAGATCTGAAAACATCAAGATGTGATACTAGCAGAAATGCAACATAACATGATGTAAATAGTCAATTTTGACTTAAATGGTTTCTATTCTCAACTTTTCCTTTACTTTCCTGTTGTTTGAAACAGGAATACAGCGATGCACGTCAAAAGGGGATACTGATTCACCACAAGGAAATGTCACTGTCATGTGTCCACTCCCACTCCATCAGTTCAGGCTGACCTCTGAATGTGATTCAGAGCATCAAAGCGGACACACTCAGCTTTCTGCTGCAGTTCCCTCAGCCTCCTGCAGAGGGAGCCACAGCGCCTGGCAGCACAAAACCAGGCAGCAGCAGCTCTGTAGCAGCAGCAAGTGCGGTGCGGTCGACCTGAGAGGAGCGGAGAGGAGAGGGCTCCGTGCCGCCGTCGTAAGGAAACATCGCACAGATGAAGGGACCGTCGCGAATTACTATCACATATTCTTCCGTTTGACTATTGTTACATATCAGACAACACATTCCTCCTTCATCCCAGCGGGGTAGCACCGTCGCCGTGGGTCTATCATTCGGAGGGCTTTCCTGTTTTTCCTCCGGGAGGCTGAATGGAAGCAGCAGCCGAGGGAGCGGTCGGGCTGTCGGAGGCCAGGGACGGGAGCCCGCTATCCGGGGCCGCAGCATCCGATGATGCGGACACCGTCGTTGGAGTTAGCTACGGGATGGACGCCGCAGACATGGGTACGTTGTCACCTGTCATATAATCCCTTTCCGCCATTAATGGGAATTTCATCATCCTCATATCCATTTTCATTTAAGTGTCTGATGCTACCGCTGTGACCAAAAGTCCCGACTCATCTTTGCTAGCAAGGAATTGGTAAGCTAGGCTAGTAGCTAACTTAGCTGAATGGATGAGGAGAGCAGGTGAAGTTAGGACCTATAGATACTGTATATGTCACCGTATGATATGTATTGTACATTCGTGTAGGCACAGTCGTGACTAGTCAGTAACGCAACAACCCGAGGATAGGAGAGAAATAGACAGATGTTTGAAAGACAAATATAAAGCATGGTAGAGCTGTAAATATTAACTGCCATATAGGAACAGCCAGGGGTGTAGCTACGATTTCTTACCACCTCTTCCACAGGAAGAATATTCCTCTAGGTCCCCCTCCCCTGTTTTCAAAAAAACAATATGTAGATTTTAAGGCACCATGACTTATCACCACCTGTCACCGCCAGGCTGTAGAAAAACGTTATATATATATATTTTTGCAGAAATCATTAACGCTTTAATGTGGGCTTTCCATTTGGCACCATCTTGGCAGTTACTGGAGTCAGAAAATGCAACATTTGGCAAGGAGCAGGACTGATGAAGAAACAGCAGCCACCATGGCTGACTGAGACAGGCTGAGACACCTGGCACATAGACATTCATTTTTTATTTTATTTCAAGGGTGTTTTTTTTTTCAAACTGACACTAAGGCACATGTTAGAAGACGTGAATTAGACCTTTTTCTCAGTAGACATTTTGAGTTGTCACAGAGACAGAGGGAAACGCACAGGTGTTGCTAATAACATTAATTATGGCTCTGTTTTATTCAAGTGTCCCAGTAAGCCATGACAGTGAGCCAGCATGAGCAATACCAGGTGCCTGAAACTGAAGCAGCTAAATGAAATTCATCCATCATTCATTTTATAATCTACACCTGTACTTTTCCTACTGTGGCATGTCAAAATGTCTTCTGTGAAACAGACATGTTGTAAATCAGGCCATGGTTAAGATTAGACACATACCTGAAACATTTATTAAAGCAGGCATTACTTGTTTTTAACAGTGTCTCCCTTTACAGTTTTGTGTAATGAGTGAATAACTGTTTGCTGCTTTGTCACTGCTGTGTTGTGGCTGATTGTGTCATAACGTTACAGGCTGAATTTATTGTGTGTGTATCAGTGATGAGACATGAGGGAGGTGTGCTAAAATATAAGTACCCTCCTCTCCAATGTCTTTTAATCTGTTGTAAATTATTCCAGGAGGATGGAGCAGTATATGTGAAGGCAGGCTTTCTAAGTGCTTCAGGAATTTTGTGTTTGTGTTTGAGTTTGTCAAGATTTAAGAGAAGTTAGATTAAACAATTGGACTAGTTTAATGAATAAAGAAAATTATGCTCTTTTCCGACATAGAGAGAAGGTTGTTACAAAACTTGTGTAGAGATGTAGAATTAGACTCATGCATAGGCTATAGATCCATTAATTATAGAAAATTCATCTGCACAAATCTCTATCTGCAGAATCTGTAAAAACAGGCTTGTCAAGTTCACCTGTATTCTGTAGGCCAGTTGAAGCTGGTTGTAAATGAGAGTTTGTCATATCAAATCCGCTTTGACAGACCCGTCCTTTACAGGTTTTCATCAGGAATTTTGATTTGAATGCATTTAAAACAAATTTTAGATTAACAGCACTGTCAGGAGGCGGTTAAAGGCAAGTTGTAGTTGTCCAGTAGCTAAGCTAATAGATGGAGCATTATAGTATATATATAAGACTGCATCATCAACATAGAGATGTGTTCTCCTATGTAAATGACACAGCATTATTTAATATAGCTTAGTGGCGACTTTAAAGTATACTATTGGATGTGGTTATGTCTGCAAATGCATGTATGTGTTTCTTTAAGTATATGTTGGGCTCTTGAGTCTAACAGCTATCAGTCATGCTGCATTAACTGGAGTTTTCATTGTCCCTGGTGTGAAAGGTGCTCAGAAGGCCTACCTCCACACAGAACAGACTAATGAACCAATGGCTGTCTGGTGATTGTTAATTGTCGAGCTTAGCTGTATCAGAGGATAGAAAAATGGAAGCAGGGTGCCTTTGGCTGCAGATGCCTTTTTTTCTAGCATGCTTGATGGCGCGTGCCTCATGCACCTGGGGCAATTTCACAAGTGTGTGCCTGCTCAGTCAGTCAACCTTCACATGCAGTGGAAAACATGGCCTTACTGGGGAGAGAGTGAGATTGCATGTGCAGATATACAGCGCTGAACAGATCCATTATTGAGTACCACTGCCAAATGTTTTCAGGTTGATGGTTTACAAACAGTTAGCATTCACCTGTCTGTGCTGTATTTTGAGCCACTGGACATTGGCTGTGAGAGCATTAAAATATAATGTTTACAACAGAGGGCAACTCTTCATAGTATGATGTGACATGTTTATTCATTATTCATCTGTGGATCGGCTAATGCTGTGGGTTGAGCTGGTTTTAAATATTCCTCAGGCTGCTCTGATATGCTATTAATGCAGCATTTAATAATTGCTTAAGAAATCCCATTAAATTAAAAGCCAGTCTAGTTGATACCTCGCAACAAGTTGTCCAGTGAAACAAATGAGGATTTTATTCTGTTTCCAAAGATACCTGATGTGTCACTATGCAAAATAGACAGAAAAACACACATTTTCTAATACAACCTTTTCTAAACAGCTATTAGATACACACACATAAATCTTGTAGGTCGAAACATCTGCTATAAAGTAAACAGTATTCCTGTTTTGTAGCAGAGTAAATAAACAGACTACTGCTGTAAATCTGTGTGATTTCACTCATTAGTATCAGTCAGTAGCATGTTACTTACTGACCAAAGCAGCCGTGGATGTCTCTGAAATACATGACTGCTTGAACGGAGATAAGATCAACATGCAAAACTTATTATATTACTTACATATACACTGTTGCTCATAAAGTTGGAATAAAATATTTTTTTTTACCTCTTTCCATGAAATGATTGTGACAATGTGATTTATTTCAGTTCACCTGGGTAATTGGGACACATAATGTAATCATTGCACCTGGTCAAAAGTGATTACTGATGCATTTGAATATGAATAAACAGAGGATTATGTCTGAAAACAAAATTATTCCAACTTTATGGGCAACAGTGTATTTTAAAATGCATCACTAAAGGTCTGCTGGAGTCAACCCTCTTAAACTGTGTTCTTTTTCTCACTATTTTAATCAAGGAATAAAGGCTATCACATTCTTAATGTCATAATGATATCAAACATCAAACACCAACAACAATGAATGTGCAACCACATCAGCTTCCAGCTAGTGATAGTATCAGACACTGCACTGCTCTATCATAGTTTCTGTCACTATTTGACTTAATTAGTCTTTCATCGTGCCATTTGTAGGATGATTGTATCTGAATATCCACCACAATTTTGAAGGTGAACCTGCTTTTAAGTTGTCAGTGTTATTCTTTTCATTGCTGATATTGTGTCTGTCGTCTGATACAGAGCTTTTGTAGGTTAAGCTAGTTTGTCTGATAAGCCGTGCAGCAGGGGTTGGTGTGGATCACACCATGACTCCCATGCAACATCTGTCAGTGAAGGGTCTTAAAGAGATAGTCCATTAACAGCTAGCTGAAAACTGTTTAAACCAGGGATTGTGTTAGTTTCTATGACAGTGTAATGACAATGTAGTATTGGCGCTGCTCAATGGGAATGAATGCAAATGTCAGCTGCAAGAGTCCAGCTTGATTCTTACTGACTAGATGCTAGATGTTTTGCACAAGATGTGGAATTGCTCAACGGAGAGCTTGGTTAACGTCAGAGCCTGCGTGTGTGTAATTGCAGACTGCAGCCTTCAGCTCAGCTGCTCTGAATGTATGAATACAACAATGTGTGGGTGTCACAGCTGGCTGTTAAATAGCTGTCTGAGCATTTAGTCCCATTCAAAACTCCTCATCCTCAGGCAGTCGTAATTTGTACTTATAGTCTCCTGTAAGCTTGACAGCATCGATCTCACTTATCTCCTCCCAACACTCATACTAATTTCCTCTCACCTTCCACTGCGGCTGTAGGTCTTTTTTTTTTTTTTTAAATTCCTCTCCACTCCTCGCCTTACTCTCATCTCCTCTTACTCGCCGCTGAGTGAGATACAACTCATCTACTTCCTCCTCTGTGAGTGATTCCCTTGGCTCAGCCACTCATTTGTCACTATCCATCAGTCCTCCCCCTCTCTGTTTTTCTGTGTTCTCCGCTTTAGGCATGGCCTGTCAGAATTGCTGACGGAAGCACAAAGGGCTGTTGCCTCCTGTGGAATTTATCATCCATCTGTTTCCTCCGTATTATTCCTTCTACAAGGTCTCTGTCTCTGTCTCTGTCTCTGTCTCTCTCTCTCTCTCTCTCTCTCTGTCTCTCTCCCTCTCTCTCTCTCTCTCTCTCCCTCTCTCTCTCTCTCTCTGTCTCTCTCTCTCTCTCAGATCAGTTTGTATGGCTAGTTCAACAAGCTTTTATAGGAGTTTGACCCTCTGCCAGGTTGTTTGATGTCATAGTATTTAACATAGATGATGACGCAGTTCAGTTGCGTCTTATGTGCTGCTGATTTTCTCAGTAAATGGGGGATGTGTGCTACAGTTGCTATTTTAAACAGACACCACAGCACGGCAGGAGCGTTGTGTTTGCTGCTATCTGTCCTTGTGCTTAGCCAGGTTTTTTTCTTTTTCTGAGCGGTACCTGCTGGGAAGATCAGCGAGGGAGAGAGTAAATAAAGGAAGAAGAAGAAGAATTTTAGGCTTCTGTTGTGGTGAATTTTCAGTTGTGAAAGACTATATATGCGCCACTGAATGAGGCTCTGGCTCAGTTTTATGCATGACTGTGGTGCCATACTGCCCAGGCTTCCGTCAGAGAAGGAATAAAGCAAGGACCTGCTGATTTCAATTAAGAGAGTTACTTTCCCCACTGTG